CACCAAAACTCATAATGATACCACAATAATGTAATAGATGATCGCATTTTCCCACAAGTGGGTTGAGCAATGCGTTTGTGGAGCAAGGTCAGACTGAGGCCATCAAATCATATGTCAGGTTGGCCAATTAGGATATAAAACAAGATATATATTGCTAGTAGGTACTGGTTCTTGATATTACGCGAAATGCTTTAAATCCTACATAACCTTATATACCGTTAGTTATAATAAGTTGTCACTTTTAAATGAGCTAGATAGATAACAAAAACATAAAAGTTAAAATAGAAAAATGAATAAGAGCATTCAAAATAGACATTTAGCTCGTAGTACTATGCTAAAAGTTAAACATTTATTTAGATTGAGAAATACAACACGGGCAGGATTCGACCGGCATCCACCATCAATCAATTGAGGTGCCGTACTAATTGTCATTGTCGAATTTTTTCAACCCTTGCGCACTTCTCGCGCCGTTTTTTTTTTTAGCAGTCCAAATATGTTTTTAATGTACATAAAGCCACCATGTGCAAAATCACATATGAAAATTATTTAAGTTTTCAAGCGTCTAAAAGTGTCTTTCGTGAATATATCTATTTCATGTGCATTGTGCGCATGTGTGCATTTTTAGTTAAGTGCATTATTAATGTTAAATTTTAGCTACATGTCTTTCGATTTCATATTTATAAACTTTATTTAAGTTACTGCGTCCTTCCTTCCCCTAGTCACGACAGAAAGGGTACGATCAACTTTAAAAATGAGTCGAAAATTAAGATATGCAAAGTAATAAGTTTCAAATATGTATGTTACTTGATAATACATATGTATTTTTGAATACAGCAAACAAAGACAACAAGGGCAATAAAATCAACTCCATGACCTATCGTAATTGCCGAAACATTCTCCGCGCCCGCATTGTTCTTAGTCAAGAACGAAATCATGATTAATTCTCAACTTTCGCCCCGACTCGTTTTAATCCCAAGGTCTTTGCCGAAATTAACGATTTCCGTAACTATTGATTTTACGATTTACCATGCAGGAAAAAATTGTGATCATTGTTTTGTAAATTAGTATCTATACTAATACATATTATAAAGCTGAAGAGTTTGTTTGTTTGTTTGAACGCGGTAATATTAGGAACTACTGGTTCGAATTGTGTTATTTTGTGTGTTAGACCAATCATCGAGAAAGTCTGTAAAACATCATGTTGCAACCGATAAAAGCAAAGAAACATAGTGTAAAAAGCGGGGAAAATTATGTACCTTTGAAAACGGGACGACATACCCAATTATATGTACAAGAGATTTATTTTTCTTTAAATAATGTAAAAATATGTTCCCGAGATTCTATATCTATCTATCTTTTAAGATTCTCCCAACAAGAACCGTTTTTATGGGAATACATTTTTGATCAAAATATTTCACATGGCAAAATAACGTTTTCTAGGTTCGCTAGTGTTTTATACAATTACTGCCTCTATGGCTTTATCGTAAAACGCGTTGCCTTGTAGAGTTTCAGGGGTTCTGACTTATTTCGACGAAATTTAGAACGTAATTCGGTGAGGCAAGGTCATCATATCTACTTTAGTCTCGGTCAGATAAGGCAGAGGTTTGTACTGTCTAGTAATACTTTGCTTTTAAATAAATCATTCAGTGAAACAGACAGAAGTGTGTCTGTATACAGAAAAATATATGAACGTGATATCAAACTGCAAGAGATAATTTGTTTGATAAATATGCCCTACAAAAGAACACATTTCAAGCAAGAATTCAGCAATAAGATTCGCTACATAAAACAGCCCTTCTCAGATGCGCAAAGAAATAAAAGATCTCATTACGCAAGTGACAATTTAGCATTTGACACACAAGTCTAATTGCCATACAAGTAAACTATACCTTCAAGAGTTCAAGAGATAAAGAACTAAAAGTGAAACAAATCTAGGTACCACGGCCATCTAGATCATCGAAATCAATTATACCATTTTGAACCGTGACAAATGGCAGTAAGGCACAATTTCGTTCGTCACGGATTACCCAGTGTTACCTAACATTTCCTATTTGAACTAGAATTACGGTTTATATGATTTAGATTCTAGGCGTATTGTGGGAAAGTTGCTTATGTAACTTTGGCAAAAGTCTTTGTTATTAGCTGCAAGGAAGATGCGATGCTTCCTTCATAGTTTACTTGGAAAGCTTGACGAAATAATTATGAGATGCTAAGTAGCTTGAAGATTTTTCAGGAAGTAATCATGTAATAATCGAGTTACGAAGTAATTACTAATAATTTTAAAACCTAACATTGTCGAACGAAGTATTTGAAATTTTCGTTTACTAAAGTAAAGGGAACCAAATATTTGATATCCTTTCGTCTCATCGTCTCAATGCCATAAATTTTGTAATTGTTAAATAATTTCATGGAATCCAAGTACTAACCAATAGTTCGACAGCGCATCTAGTATAGATGTTACATGGCAGGGCTATTTCATCTTCCATTAAGTGGACCCGATGCTTGTCTGTCCTCTTCTAAAAAAAACAATAGATTGTAAGCTGTACTGTCTCAAATTTCATCAAAATCAGTCCGTCAGTTTTAACATCAAAGCAACAAACAACTATAAAAACTCGCCTTTAATAGTAATAAGATGTGATAGTTCGATTGCTTTGTATTATGTTAAGAATTGATCTCTCATTCCCTTTATGGTTAGAAAGGTACAAATCGTTGACTAAACAGCCATTACTCAATGAATACGGTTTAATATTTCTCTAACCACATGGTATTAATGTCTTTCTGTATCTGTGGTATCTAAAAGCTTACGATCTTGCAATGATAAGCCGCGGCTTACATAACGCAATCGAGGTTAACATTTCCACTTCACTTAATTTCCGATATGCCATTTAGAACTGTACCCCAACTCTATTGGTGTCAGAATCGCGCGCACGTGATGTATTTTTATGCAATTCAATAATGCTATCTTGGTAGGAGGCGACTTCCGATTTCTATGGAATTTCAAAGGCTGACGAGTGACCGCTCTGCGCAAGGCTGTTTAACAATTGTAACAGTTAATGGGAGTGACCGGTAAAGAGACTGGAATTAACATAAATTACTGGTTGACATTGGGTCTTAAGTAATTATGAATTACGAAACCATAGCGATGTTCCAAATGTAATGTCAATCCCATATTATTAGTAATCATCATTATAAATTTGTATTATCAATTACTAGCTGTGTCAGCGGGATCGTCCTCAAAGCATAGTTATTTTGGGCAATCAAATTTGTCGTTGCAAACCTCTTCATCCTTACAAACATAAGCTGTCGTCCGCCTCCCATCGTTTTTGTAATTTAATCTTAAAAGATCGACATATAATTATTCTTTCATGCATAGTCTTTGATATCTAGAACCGAAATAGCAGCGGAAACCCGAAATATATTTTGCCCCAACTTTTTTTTATTTTCCCGCTGTTTTTTCGCTTCTATATGTCTGAGCGTTTTTTGTTTTACACCCTTCCTCAATAAATGCTCCAACCAACAAAAAAATATTTTTTTAATTGCAACCAGTACTTCCTGAGATTAGCGCGTTCAAGCAAACACTCTTCAGCTTTATATATTAGTATAGATAACATCGTCTTCTGTAAACATTTTGCTATAATTTACATTCTATTTTTAACTATTCAATAAAGAATTTTTAACACAGAAAATGTAGTTTGAATGGCGTATAACCACCAGAATAAAACAATTTGATTTAAAATCACACATAACAGTACAAAAATGTAAAACAACATATATAAACTAAATAATTCCTTGCTCTAAATAGAGTTGACAGTATTACGAATTTCTATACGACATTGTGATAACAAACTGAAATCAAAAAACCTGATATAATTAAATGTAATTAATTTGAAAAGATAACTTTTATGCCTTACCATAATCGCGTTGACCTTTTTGCTGAACAATAAAAAATATAATTAATAGAAAAAAAAAGATGTTTAATTAAGCTATTAGGATATTATTAATTACAATCGTTACGTAAAACACGTTGAGCGATACATATTCATTTGTTTTATTGAGTTGTAAAGTGACAAATAATTGGCGAGATAAAAAAATTGAAGGGTGACACTTAGTCGATTTTATTTTACTAGTTTGCTACGAATTACATTACAGTTTCATAGCAAATATCAATATGTCATTTAGTATGTCCATGTTATATACCAATGGGTATTTTATATAAGTGTATCCCATGCTTCTCTAATCTTCTCTGAAGTAAAAACAACAAAAATGTAGTGCTCAAATCAAAGACCGCGACACGACGTGCAAACACATCTCGGCTTAACTAAAGACATCAACGCGCTCCGATTTTTCATAACAATTTTACGACTGCTTTTCTTAATCCCGTTGGCGCCGAGAGGTTTTTTGCTTTATGTAGCTATAAAGACTATATTAAAGACTTTGTGGTTGTAAATCTTACACATAAATAAATAGATTAAGCTGTACCATAGCCATATAACAAGAATTATTTTTAACAAAAAGTGCGTCTTTTTTATAGACAATCATGGGGTTTATATGATAGAAGGTGATAGATACATGAGGCGATGTCAATTTTTGTTTTGCAATTTCGGAAATCCATGGACTGAAACCGAAACGCAAATCAACTTCACGGCTTTCAGTGGTAGGTGTGGACCCGGAAGTAATTTCGATACGACTGCCACCTATTTATCAGGTTTCCAAACAAAGTCTAACATGTTTCAATAATATATAAATCAAATAGAAAGAACGCGTTTGGACACGTTGTGCATCGAACCAACGATCCGTTATTAGCCGTATCACGCGACTCTAAGACCAGTGACATTTCTTATTCGTACTAAGAAAAATTAAAAAATATATATATAGAAAATAACTTTTATAGCTAATCCGTACGCAACTCAATTTCAAAGAATATTGTATTCTGCCAACTTCATATTGGTTAACGTTGCGTGTACTTGACAATTATAATATAAACAACACCATTGTTTCAGATTCACGAGCACATGACGGCCGACGAACTGCGCAGCGTATTCCACGTGGAACACCACAGCCTAGTCCCACAATACCACCTCATTCGTCTAACGCACCACATGGAGCGACGGAACATACCACATTCGCACCCCTCGAATTCCCACTTGTCCACCTCCAGTAAAATACCGCACGAAAAGTCCGAATCGTTACTGAACGACGAAATGTTCGTTAAAGCAAAGGACACGATGAAAGATATAGATTTAATTGGTGATTTAAATAATACAGTTAGTGTAGAGTTTGGGGATTTTAGTGACAGTGATAGTGTGCATAAGATAGATTTGGAAGCGTTTGGGAAGAAGCTGCAGTTGAACTTGAAGAAGCAGGAGGGCTTAGTGAAGAAAGACGGTCTGAAGGTGTGGAAAGCCTTAACGAATGAGTCTCAACCGCACGGCGTGGATTACGAGGAAATGGTTTCGGTAAGTGAATATTTTAATCTTGTACTTAACGCTAATATACAGAAATACGCGATCAAACGCGATTTTTAACAAACTAAATTTTAAAAGCCCTAATACATCGCGTTGTTCATTTTTTAATTCAACTATGAATCTTGATAACTTTTATTTAAATTTTATTTAGTTTTTACATCTATTTATTTTATATAAATTAATAATAATATCACAAATATCACATTAAAAGAGCATTCAGTTGATAGAAATAAAAATTGTTTCTTATTTACTTTGTGTCTTTCTGATAAAGCTTTAAACATAAGAATCACACGTGTTTAACTAAAAAGTGGTATACTAGTAGCTTTCGAGTTAAAGTTTTTGAACTTTTGATGAGATTAAATTGATATATTTTATCGATTGTTTTTTTACCTTTTATTCATAAGAGTTGAATACATTCTTGTAAGAATATTCAAATAAAAGAAACAAATTACGAGAGTACTTAAAAAAATATAATTAATGGGTAAGTATGACCCATAATTACCTTCGCTAGACATCACAGTCTTGACGTTAATTGTTGATTTTCACAAACAGCTTCTAATGAGACAATAATCAGTTTTAACTTTCCTTACCCATATGTTACTGTGAAAAGCGAAACCTGGGTTGACAAAAACACGTCATACAATCGGGATAACCATAACTGAAAGCGATTATGCCATTGTGGCTCTTAATGTAAAGAAATAAGACCTAAGTTAGCGGTGAATACATATAGAAATATATAGTTCAATTGTTCTCAAGAATGCAAAAAATGTGTTCATCTGTGTTGGGTGAAAGCTCATTTTCTTCCCACGCGCGTTACGTGAAGTGATATTCTTAGAAATTAGTGCATTGTGTAATTTTTATAATATTACTTACATACATGTTATAATAATTAATTAGTAGGTTAATTGCAATCAACTAGGTTACACTATACTAAGTGTTAAAATTACGAAATACTTATATTTACTTCCTTTACTCTATTCTTGTTTTATTGTTGTCTTCAAGACGAACACGTAATTAGTAAAGATTCAAAATTCACAATTTTCAAACTATTGTTATTTCATAAGCATAATTTATTCTATTTATATATATTAAAGCACCTGTGTTGTTCAATGGTTAAACGATGGCCTAGTACTTATAAATTTAAGAAAGAGCGGTCATGGGTTTGTACGCTTACTACAGATTAAATACTTGTCTGTAAGTAAAATCGATAAGTGAAACGGACAGACATATGTTACCTTAAACCTCATAGAAGGACACGGGTTTTCCCTATTTTGCGACCCAAAGTGATTCTTAGCCTCCAGAACCTAATAACATATCCAATTGAGACAATACTTTAATTTTGATTAACAGTAGAGTAGAGAGGTGAAAAACTAGGCCACAGACGGTTGCCACATTAAGCTAAATTATTATTGATCACGATGAAATTCCTCACGGGAGAAGGAAGTTATATTTAGTTATTCATATTTTATATAGGGAAACGAGTTCGTTTGACGCTACCGTGTCAAACACGACACGGTAGAGTTCAATTGGTTAATGCAACAGCACGGAACGCTGTCGATGCCGGTTCAGGGCCTGCCCGCGTCGTAAGTTCTTTAAATCTAAAATCGGTGATTATGTTATTTAATGCCATCATGTGCAATAAATAAAACATATTAATTTAACAAGATTTTACTTAACGCTTATATGTAAACGAAGTTGTTGCGAATATAGAAGAAACTATGCCTATGAAATTTAACTTGTCTAAAATTGTCTGGTCGTATCACTCAAGACTCGACTGTGCAATGGTAATAAATTTTAATAATTATCGCAATAATTTATGCTATCTGTGCCGGACACTAAATATTAAACATAAACAGACCCTTTGCGTCCTTGTTGAGACATCAAACACGCCCTGTTGGATATTTCAAATATTTAACCGTTCCGCGTCAGTGATTCATTTGAGCGAATGCTGTTTTACAGGTACGTGCGAATGCACAACACCAATTGGCACAACATTCATGTTAAATAAATGCAATTCTTTGTGAATTCAAGGTCTGATATACAAAATAATTGCCTCGTTCATTGAATAAGTTGCAGTTCACGTCGTTTAGACCTCAAATCGAGAGAAATGGCAGTTGTTTCTTTTTAAGTTTTTATACAGGCTTCGAGCTAGTAGGTGCTATCGTCCGTCCTCGTAGAGCAAGTTAAGCCATGGGTCGCGATTATTATCACAAATTTAGTGGCGGCGAGTAGCAATGGGAATAATATGTGGCTAATAAACGTGGGTTTGATACCAGGTCGATATAAAAACAACAATGCATGATGTATGGGAAATAAATTAAACATTGCAACAGTGTGGCGCTTAGCTTTTACACCTTTTTTGTTATGAGAAAGACCTGCTCACTATTTCAGTATTCAGGACGTACGTACTCTTAAATACTGTCTATAGTTTACGCGAGTAGTACACATTGAAATAAAACACTTTAAAGGTTTAAAACTCGATATATTAGTTAAACTAATATATCGCGTTTTAAACCGTTAAAAGGTTTTATTTAAACGCACGTACTCTTACTTGATCTTAGTTCCTGTTAGTTAAGTAAAAAATAAATGGCGCTAGTGTAGCAGTTGATATTTTAAACATTTTATGTCTTTAGTGGCAAATTCATTCGAATAGCAGCTTAGAAAAGAAGAGTCACTTCAAGACAAATAACTTATATAACACGAAAGCGATTACATATTGAACAGTGATTGACGTCAAGGTATATAGAACATTTCCCTATGCAAATTTAAAGAAATGGATCCATTGTACTCTGTCGGAAATGACTTTATAATTTCTTGTATAACCTCAATTTCCTGAACTTTACATGTGGTAGGAGAGAATTATTGGGACCGTATAGTTAGACCTGTGACGTCACCAATGACTATGATAATGATCTACGCGTATACTGTGTATGTTTTATTGCAAAATATTTAATTTGTATTTTATGATATACTTATTAGCTGACCTGGCAAATTCCAATAACGGTTCTAATGAGTTAATCTTAAGAAAGACATATACTGTGGTTGTTTTTTTGTAGATTATTTCAACAAACGTTGTTTATTTGTATAAATTTTTTGACTACCTTGAACTTGGAGGAAACTCAGAAAGACGAATCGTTTTCCACATTTCCGTCAGTTGCTTTGCTCCTATTATTTTCAGCCTGATGTTTAATGGCCCAAAATCTTCCTCGATAAACGGCCTATACTATTATTGATACTTAGACTGTGTGACTAAATAAACATCACGAACGAGTCAGGAAGTAAATAAAGATGAACATAATCTATGATAATTGCACACACTATAATGACTGACTAATGCAAATATTATAATTGGCATTAATTTTCCTTAGCACATTGACAGTACGTGAATGAATGATATTCAGTAAGGATATTATCATCTTTATTATTCACATATAATATTGTCGAGTCATAAAGGTAGCTCAATAAAGATGATAACAACATATAATAGATACTAAGGCGTAGATTCGATTACCACCGAAAGCTATTATCATAAAACACTTTTAACTGTTTGAAACGCGACATATACCTATTAGTTTACTTATTTACAATTTATTTTAACTGAACCGACGTTTCGGATGCTTTGCAGAAGTCGTGGTCACAGGGGGCCTGAAGATTAACTCCCTAATGTCATACCAAATTGTAAATAAATTAAGTAATATACTTCGCGTGTTAAGCCTTAAAATATTTATTTATTTATTTTTAATGAAGCCTTGCGAACCCCCACAGCCCCCCCCCCCCCACCTCCCTTGACCACAGCTCCTGCAAATTATCCGAAAAACGACGGGTCGTATTTTTGGGTCGTACTTAAAATATATTTAAAAATACTATCATATTTTGCGTTTAAACCGTTTTTTTTATTATTTAATATGAACTCGTTCTAAAACACAAACGTGTGTATTTGTTTGTGTGTATTATATGAACTTTAAAAAGAATACAATAATACCATTTAGGATAACATAGATTATTACTACAAAAATAATTACGTAGATCAAGACAACGAAAAGGAAAAACGCGTTCGTGACAAAAGATGATCTCTCTAAAGTCACGGAAGTATTTCGTTAATTTACACATAAATAAGATTAAAATTAAATTTGTCTTTGACAAACTGTAATAGGATTTAGGAATTTAAGAGGCTTAACAATAAGGGTAAAAAATGGTCTACACAAAGCATAGCGTTAATTTTGAGTTGAATTGAGTTACTATTGTTTCTTTTGGCGTCACGGCCACGCCTTAAAATCGTATAGAGACTAAATATATATAAATGATTCTATAGAGAAGAATTTATTTACTTGACCATTTGTAATGTGGCCTTTTAGCCATCGCTTTTTCATGCTGTGAGTCGCCTTCTGTAACTCAGTGGATGTAGTCGTTACCAAGCAATGCAGCAAACAAAAGATGCTGGCTTCGACTTCGTGTAAAGTTAAAAAATTATTTTATTTGTAGCTTACGCAAGCGGTACACATTTAAAGGTTCAAAACGTGAAATTATTTATAAACTACGCTCGGGTGCTTTTCGTCAACCGTGGTCACGGGTCTGTCTGATTGAACTATTTACTAAGTAAAAAAACACTTTTAACAGCTTAAAATAAAATACTGTCTATAGTTTACGCGAGTAGTACACATTTAAATAAAACACTTCAACGGTTTAAAACGCGATTTATTAGCTAAACTTATTTGAAAATGATTTATAACTTCGGCCCGACGTTTCGGATGCTTTGTAGCAGCCGTGGTCACGGGGAGCTTAAAATAGCCGAATATATCAGTTAACTTATTTACAATTTATTTTAATTGGCTACTTTTGTTTTTTCAACAACTTCAGTAGCAATAACTTAAAGTTATTTACTTTTAGTGTCAAGTTTTATGTTTACAAAAAATATGGTTTGAGACTAGGATCAGAACCCTTATATAACGTAAAGATATTTATTTATGCATTAACAATTACAACAAGTTTAATTTATACTAAGTCTAATTTATGATTTAATGAATACACCACCTTTATTAAAGAAATTGTGGTTCAAAGCTATTATTACATGCTTATTTTCCAACCGCAAAATATGTAACGCGCATAACTCGAAAACTAGATAACAGTCGCTTTTAACTCACGAAGTTGTCATTCCCACGGTTCGAGAAAGGCTGGTTCACGCCCAAAATGCCCCTATATATTGTGCTTATCTATAATACTATATGGTAAAGTAGAATTAATTAATAAATACTAGTAAAAGCGAAATCCCTTTTCGTGGGTCATGGGCGAATACATTTATGTGTCCGTTTCATCGATCGGTTCTTTTAAAGGCGAGTGGTTTCCCCCTTGGCCCAACCCCCCCCAAAAAAACTCTTTTTTTTGGGATCCCCCCCCGGACCCCCCCCCACCCCACGGGGGGGCCCCCCCCTTTAAACCCCCGGGGGCCGCCAAATTTTTTTCCCCCCCCCCAAAAAAAAAAAACCCAGGAAAATTCTTTTTTTCCCTTTTTTCCCCCCCGTTTTCCCCCCCGGGTTAAATTTTTTTTTCTCACACCCCCCCCCCCCCAAAAATAACCAAAAATTTTTTTTTAAAAAAAAAAAAAAAAATAAAAAAAACAAAAATTTTTTTTTTTACCCCCCCCCCCCCCCTTTTTTTTAAAAAAAAAAAATAACCCCCCCCCCCCCCCCCGGGGGGGGGGGCCCCCCCCCCCCCCCCCCCCCCCCCCCCCCCCCCCCTTTAAAAAAAAAAAAAAAAAAAAAAAAAAAAATTTATATAAAAAAATTTTTTTTTTTTTTTTAAAACACCCCCTCTCTTTTTTTTTTTTTTTTTTTTCTCCCCCAAAAAAAAAAAAACCCCCCAAAAAAAAAAAAAAAATTTTTTTAAAAAAAAACGTTCAAAGTTATGACGTGCTAACAATAGTCGGAAGTGACCGTAACGAAGGCTGTATTGTTGGAATTTCGTTTTATTTGGATATGCAATTTGCAAGGTGCATTGACTTAAAAGGGAATGTTTCCTAAATGAATCACTAAAGTATTGTCAAAAATTACAATTAGAATTTCGTTAAGACGAGGCCAACTTTCAAATTTCGTTAACGTTAAGACAAAAACCCACCACGATGCATCAATGCGAGTTAGTGGGCTTTATCTACGTAGCATTATATTTTGAACTAGCTGTGTCAGCGACTTCGTCCGCGTAGAATAGTTGCATTGTGCAAGCAAATTTGTTTTTGCAAACCTCATCTTCGACTTTATAAATTTAAGTTGTTATCCACGACGTCGGTCGCGTTCCGTCGTTCTTGTGAGTTAATCTTAAAACATATAGATAAAATGTTGAAGAGGAATCATTCTTTCATACATATTTTTTAGGTATCTTGAACCGTTTTCGCAGCGTACGCTTCAGAAAGCCAAACCATCGATGTATGATTTCCACCGTTTTTTCAACATTTTCCGCTATTTATTCGCTCCTATTAGTTACAGCCTTCCTCAGAAAATGCTCTAATCAACACAAAAATATTCTGTCAATTCGAACCTGAAGTTCCATAAGAAGAGGTTCCTGACATTAGCGCAGTACAAACACACAAACTAGCTCCGCAGCTTTATATACTAGTATAGCAATAAATATATACATATATATACACACCCCAGATATATATATATATATATATATATATATATATATATAATGTAGCTATATAAAAATAGCAACATTTTTATAATCCAGGATGCAAACCCGGAATGTTTTGCTTGGGAAACGGGTTTTGTTTCATGGTACCCTAGTAATTATATAGTTACCCAGATTGTTACGCATAAATGTTACGCTTATTTATTTGCAAGTATCAACAATTCTTACACTCATAATAAAGCCTGTAAATTAATATAGTCTGTAATCTTAGGTAGTCAATAATTGTAAATTTATTTTATTAACAAATGGTTACAATATATACACGGAAAAATGGTTATCCATATTTTTATTTATTGTTTTGTTCCAGGAAGGTGATGAAGATCTAGGTGATTTGTACCACGATGATGAAAATGGAGCAGCTTTACTAATCAGGCGGCATCCCAAACACGGCCAACTTGTAGTGGTGAGTAATTGAATTTATATTTTAAATGATTATCTAAATAGCTCAAATGTGTTAAACAGCTTTTAATTAAATACTGTCTATATAGCTAAACTTATTTAAAAATATTTTTTTTCTTCGGCCTGTCCGTTTGCTTATGTTGAGCAGCCATTTACAGGGAGACTAAAGACAGGCTGTCTCTGACATCAAAGTAAAACAGATGGCGCTAGCGTACCAATTTTTTACTTTGACATCAGAGACACATTTTAGTCTTCGTGACACGTGGTACGTCGGGCCGAAGTTAAAAATAATTTTCAAAAAAGGTTAGCTAATACAAATATCGCGTTTTAAACCATTAAAGTGTTTTATTAGCTTTTAATAAATTTGATTCTCCATACAGAAGCAAAAGAATTATAATAGCGTTTTTTTCTATTAGAAAAACCACAAGTATGTATATTACTTAGAAAGATAAGAAATAAGCGCGGTAAATGCCGTTACAGAATATATTAAACCTTACATAAACTAAATATAGTCCTTGTAGCTCAGCTTAAAATTGTTTGACTTCATTAAACCATCATCGCAATTCAAATTTCTCTACAACCTTAAACCGAATGATCAATTGTTCAAAGAAAGAGTAGATCGATCCAAAGTAACGCAACCCAATAACACATACATAACAATTATTATTAATATCATAAACAAACCAATAAAGAGTACAGCATATCTTTATTACATATTATAAGGCTAGGATACTTCCACCCAGTTAGATCTATGCTTGCCTGTTCTACTCTGTTATAGAAAACTATTTTTGAAACTCTTATCTGTATTTTGCTCTATTGTCTATTACTTTCTCATTATAGAGTGGGAGATATTATAGACAATAGAGTATATTTTAACGATTATTAAACTGCTATACTTAGATTTCCGTGTTTGGTCTGTATATAATTGTCGCCACTATTATGTGGACCACGTGCCAATGTCAACTTAGTCGTTGAAGATAATGTTATTCGCGATTCTCATAAATGGGATTACCTAGACATGACCTACATTGTAATCAGTTCAATGACAGGAACCAGTATAGATATAAATAGTGTTTTTTTCTATTGTATATACGCTATATCATGGCAGTTTAGTACATAATTACTTGGAAACCAACGATCTAGAGAAATGAGTACCGGAATGTTTTAATAACGACCAAAAGGAACAACATGTTGACGCAAATACGCACGTTTTAACCTGTTCAAATATGCGTCAAACAAGCTTTCAATTCAATCCCAAAACTCTAAATAATATTTCAATTACCCAAAACCCAGAAATATATTATTTGTGTGTAGTCCAATTTCCCCTTTATCGTAATGCCCAGTGCGCAAACACTTTGAGAGTGATAGAATGCTCAGGTTGCAATTGCTAAGAAATGTCGAAAAGTTCTTGTACAGCAACTAAAATCTATTAAAGATAACACTTTTATAATTTGGAACCTTCGTAGCGAGCGAAACCGCACCATAACTTCCGTTCGTAACTTCAAATTTATTGTTCCATCATATTAATTGGAGTCACGTATATGATCCGCATCATACAATATCCATATAGCTGAAACAATGGGCCGCAAGTGGATTAAGGACGGTTGCAAAACGACTGACAATGCCGGGAAAATATTACGTGGCCATTGTGTGGGCTATGACCACGAATAACGCTAGTTGCTATTATGTCGTTTTTGCAACGGAATTGAACACTTTTCGTAGATATGATCGTGAAGACTGTGGGAGGTCGTGAAATATCAATTATTAAGTGATACAAACAACGTTGGTCGAATGGTTAGCGCACTCAACTGCAGATTACGAGGTTGCAATTCGACTCCCAAGTCAGGCGACATATTACTCCGACATTAGGACAATGTGAAGTTTTGGTGTTAAATCGTGGGGCGCATAAATATATATTAAGAAACAAGTTTAACGGTATAAAACGCGAAATATCAACAACCGTGTCAATATCACTGTGCAAATATGATAGTTTCAAGTAATAAACGATAATTCTTATAGCACTATTGACTGTAGTTTACGGGAGTAGTACATGTTTAAATTAAGCACATTTAGCGTTTAAAGCGCGGGATATGTAAGCTAAACTTATTTTTATTGCTTTGTCGTCGCGACGTTTCGGGAGCTTTGCAGCAGTCATGGTCACGGGGAGACTAAAGATGGAGGATGTCTCTAGCCTAAAAGTAAAAACTGCTACGCTACTGCCATTTGTTCCGTAGTAGTTGGCCAGTTTCGCCAAATAAGTTTAACTAATATAAATCGTGTTTTAAACCGTTGGAGTGTTTTATTATGTAGATCTATTCAAACGAAACTACTTTGCAGGAAGGCTCAATCGGGCACGATTTAGTGATCAGGCCGATTCCAGACTCCATGACCGGTGCTGCTCAGGATGACGAAATGTTCCTAGATCCGAGCAGTATGGCTGACATGGTGTCAATAGATACAGGGTTGCCGCTTGGTAAGTAATGTGAATTTGTTTAAAGTGTAAATCCCCATTTTCTGATATATTTTTTATCACATATATACACTTACCTATTTAATTTTAACAAACACATATACATCAAGCGCATCTATAGTCAAATAGTTAAATATATTATCTAGTAGTGCGTGATAGGTCCTGGGTTCGTATCCCTAGGCATAACAGATTGTTTTGGTCGGAGAGAGTACAGAAATCAGATCAACTGGCCTGAAAACTGAGTAAAAAGAAACAAACAGTTAACGGGCACAGATGTATTCGCCCCATGTGACATGTGGGGAAACGGAATATCGCTTGATAAACAATTACTTACATAAAATATCGTTTTAAATTTGAAACATAAAAAGTTACAAACGAATTCGATTAAATTATTGTTTTGATTAAATTACATTTTCTTTAATGGAAATGTACATAATAAATTTAATGTATTTTTAATCAACTTCAAACACACTGTTATATAATTAATAATACATAATTGTAAAACATACTTCCCTATCTATAACATGATATTATTAATATTGGTGTTAAACAACAATGGCACACGACACAACTAATACTTAAAAAATGATTATATTATCTGACAAGCTTCTTTTTTTCCAATTCACAACCAACATCGATCACTAAAGATAAACAGATTTACCTCTTAGCATTTAAATAACCTTTTTAATAAGTTTTGACTTCCAATCTTGAAGGATTAACTTTTGTCCCAACATGCAAAAAACGGCTGCGGAGTTGCCATTGAAAAATAATATCATTCATCAAACAATTTGACTTGGAAATAAAACTATAGATGTAATTTTTTTTAATATGTATAATAAAATAATTGCAAGCCAGTATCATTATAAATAAGAATTATAAGATATTTTTAGTAAATTACTACAGTGGCCGGCAAGAGAGTTATTGATAGACGAGCGTGTACTTCGTCTGTAACTTTAAAACCAATGATGAAGTTGATGAACAACCAACAACAATAGTTTATTACGCGCCAAAATATTATTTTTTACTAAACTCCTGTCAATGTGCCAGCCAGTTTTAAATTTATATTAAACCTTTGATAAGTTACCTCTTTGGTTTCATTTTAAATAATAAACAAATATGATTTTACATACTATAGTAGTTTATTTGGCCGCTAAACACGACAGATATGCATTTTCATACAACTATTGCGGGCTGCTGCTCGACCAATACAGCGTTCAATTTATCTCGAAGAATATTGTCAAAATAATGCTCAAATTTTCAAGCATGTTTTATAAGAATATATTAATATAGAGAATATAATAGCCTAAGATAATCTCAGATCTTTTGTTTCAGTAAAAAGGAATAAGAGTGGTCAAGAAGAATTACAAAGAAGGTTACAAGGAGCCCAACATGTAATTATAAAGAGAGATCCAGCAACCGGCGACCATCTCAGTGATTATGGTGAGTTATTTGGTCATCCAATCTTCTTTATTATTTTTATCAGGAAAGTTTGACTTCTGAATCTCTGAAAGATTCTGACGTGCCTGTTATAACACCCGAACGACTGTAAAAACATACTAAATAAATTCTGAACGATGTTTGTATGCAAGTAATTTTAAAAATCATTTTTAATCTACGCTAGATTAAGGTTCCATGTATATTAGTATAATGTAAAATACTAAGATCTCCTTTAAGAAAACCTTCTGCGTCACAACAGAGAAAAATAATAATCGTCTACTTTTCTATGCCTTCTTGTACAGGTTGATATTAAGGTAATTTAAAACACATTTGCAATCTGCCTAATGGGCAATCGCTTCTTAATTTATTTGTACCAGTTTTATAAAAATGGTGAAATTAAATACGATACAATCTTCCCAATACGTACATCGATTGTCGGTGTCTAATGGTCGAAAAAACCTGTTAATTAATGGAATAATAAAATGTCCGATCCTAATTACCTCCGAAGGATGGATAATAAAAATTAATGAAACACGTGTACGTTACGCCATCTGGTGGTCACGTGGCAGAATTATTACACGAGCGAACTTTAGGGACTGTGGATTTAAACGTGACGAAATTCTTACGAAACCTAGAATAACATAACAAAACTGACCCTAAAAGTTACTTATATCATGGCTTTCTTTTAAAAACTTACGAATTTGTACCACAATTTTGAACTTTGAAACCACAAATAACTTCTTAAAATATTAATTTTATTGCTCTTACACTATACTATTTGTAAAGCTTAGGTAATTGTGAAAAACGTATGACCGAGAATTTCTTTGTTACAAGCGTATTGTATGAAATAGCTATATTTGGTCTTATCTGGTCTAGATTCTGTAAAACGCGACGTGTGACCTATACGTCACGAAATGTATACAGTGATGCACGATGTATTGTCAAAGATATAAATTGCTATTTTATCTGAAATCTGAACGTTAACATTATGTAATGATGAATCTTATCAGAGTAACCCAAATATTACAGAAACGAGACTTTTAGTTTAGTAACTATGTTAACTAATGTTTGTACATTAATTTTGTTTCTCGAGCTTTTTGACAAACTTTTTTACTTAGTCTGTGCTAATTCTTCTTTCTACATTTTCCTCATCATGCAAAATGATTATTTCTTATTAGTTATTTTTACTCAGAACTTAACTAAATACGGAATATTAAAATCGTCATAGTACTTTAGATAGGAGGATTAATATTTTGGATTCACAACCAGGAATCGAACTGCCAACCATTATCGTTAGTCCAGTGTGTATTCCATTAAACCAATTTAAAAAAATCAATTTAGATTCAAATATTACGACACGAGCGGGACTTGAAACGGCATCAACAGCGTTCCCTGCTGCTACACTGACCAAGTGAGCTACACTGTAAAAACATGTAAAAATAAATACTGTTTTGAGCGTTATTTATTGTTCCGTTAGAAAATCTATCATTTAACTATCAACAGGTAATAATTTTACGAAGTGCCAATACAAGTCGCACATGTTATAAAGGATGACAAGGAAACTCGTTTTAAATGTTGACGTGACAGATAATGAACGACTGTGTTGCCGACTTAATTACCTGCAGTATTAGATATGAGAAGTATAATATCGGTTATTAAAGATTAGCCTTAAAGTCTTTTCGCCGTAAAGCTAAAAAAAATCTATCGAAATACTTTAATTAAGATTATTAGTATTATAATCTTTTTTTAATAAAAAAAGTTTTTTCTAGTATATGACATGGTCGTTAGGACTGTTCTATGTTATATATTTTGTCCTTTTTTAATGTTACTACTGTGAAACGTCGTTTATTAAAAAACTGGCTGTTTTAGCGACTTCGTCCGCTAAGAATGTTTATTTTGGACATCCAAAGTCGTTTTTGCAAACCCCTTCTTTCTTTATAAACTCGCGCTGTTATCCACGACGGCGCGTCCCTTCCCTTCCTGTCCCTTGTTTCATACATATTATTTACGAACGCTGCGAAAACGGTTTAACACATTAAACCGTTTTCGCAGCGTTCGCATCTGAAACCCACAGAGATAAAAATTTCCCCCGTTTTGTTCACATTTCCCGCTGTATGTTCGCTTACATTAGTCACGGTGCGATGTTGCATGGCCTATGGCCTTTCTCGCTCTATATAAATGCACTAACCGACACAAAACAATTTTCGAACCCGTAGTTCCTGAGATTAGCGCGTTCAAACAAACAAACAAACTCTTCAGGTTTATATATTAGTATAGGTTATGTATTCGGGTACTTATGTTAGTTAAGTCTTTCTTAACACAAAAGAGTTCGAAAACTCTTATATATTTTTCTAAAACGCTGCAATAAAGTTGGTTAGAGAACATGGATATAAAAAAACACAAAAATCTTTTTTCATATTTTTTTTTAACAAATAATCTCAGAAGAATTTGATTTATAAATTGACGGTATAACTTTACGATTTCAAATAAAGAAGGAGCGTTATCGATTTTCACAAGATGTTATTGATTTTAAATATAGCACATCACTAGTAACTGACCGGTTACAGAGGTCGTAAGGTTGACGATGTTACGTCACCTTGATTATACATTCACCAGACACAGAACAGTCTGGGAAAACCGCCTAATTTAATTAATTCAAAATTTTAAATTATATAATCCTTTCATTGTTCGTTTTTGAAAGATTTAGGATTTGTTGCTAATGTCATCTTTTATTGTGAGTTATAATTACCCTGGCCTGGTTATTTGCTTTGTTCTCCTAAACTAAAAAACATTCCCCGCCATTTTATAAATGCGGAAGGGTCTTTGTTTGTATATTCTGTAGAAATACAGAGTAGGCGTATATTTGAGCTAAAAATAACTGGAATACAGGTTTATTCTTAATTACTAAAGAAACCTCAACTCTTCGGTACCTAACGCTTACCTATACTAATATATAAAGCTGAAGATTTTGTTTGTTTGTTTGAACACGCTAACCTCAAGAACTAGCGGTTCTAATTGGATAAATTATTTTTGTGTTAGCTAGAGCATTTACCAGGGAGGGCTTTAGGCTATAAAAATGGCGTTGCGAACAATAGCAGCGATGAAACAGAGGGAGTTAAAGATTTATTTATTTAAGAAAACAGGAAACAATCAAAAATATCACAGTATCATAGTATAAGGAATTGAAAACAAAAAATAGAGTACAGATATTCCCTTAAATAGTTTCACAGATAAAATCGTGGCTTAACAATAACTTACACAACTAGACAATGAAAGATTTACCTGTAAGAACGACGGGACGCGGATGACGTCGTGGGCTTCAGCTATAATTTATAAAAATTAGGAACAGGTTTGCAAAAACCCATTTTGCGGATAAAATAACTACTCTACGCGAATGAATAAATAATAATGATTTCGGCGACTGTGGCGCCATCACTCAGAGCAGAGCCCTATAATAAAGTTATCCCTATATTAGTTCGCGATAGTTTGGTCACGTGAACTTTCCATTTAATTATTATTCATGTATTAATAATATTCCAATCGTAATGTACGCTCGCAACAATTTTATTGCCCCTTGATGATTTGATTTTTACAAATATAATATTTTATCGGTGATAATTTCTCAAAAGTGGTTCGCCTTGACGCTTGTCTACGTTTATGATAAGTTAAATGACGATTATGCGAGCACATTTAATTTGAATACATTTTCTTTGTTGACTGTGGAAGAGCTACTTCTATGTATAATCTATAATATATTTGTATCTTAGATGTGCCTTAATTAAAATAAGTATAATGGATTAGTTTATTATATTCGAATCTCAGAATTTGCCTCAAGCTTTTTCTGCGTTACAAATTACACAACAAGTTGTGCTTGTGACTTCGTCCACGTAAAATTGTTTTAAGCTTCAAAATTTATTTTAGCTGTTATCCACAACGTCATCCGCGTCTCGTGATTGTCAAGTTAATTTTGAAATATACAGTCACACATAGCTTCTATCATACTATTTTTTATTTCCTTTTTTCTACATTTTCCATTGTTTCTGCCTTGCAGCGTGATGTTATATACCCTATAAGATAAGTGCGCTCAAACGACAACCCTTTTTAAGTGATTTCTATATGTACTTAGATATTTTTTTATTTCAGCATTCATGGAGCCAGACCACCTGAGCAAGCGGTACAGGCGAAGACGCTCCACAGATTCACACAGCCGCCGGAAACGGGAAGCCTCTTACGTCATCTATCCGGAAATACTTGTCATTGTCGATTACGATGGATACAGGTATTGTATATCTGTCGATTAAATTGATTTGTTGTTGAAGTTTTTACTAATTGTTAGGTAAGTTAATTACGACGTAGCACAGACTATAGCGAGCTCCTTTATTACATTGAAGTAATTTATGGCTATTCAACAAAATTAATTTATATTTCTACTGAAATGATTATTTTTCTGGAAAATCTGGATATTTAATGATATTCCGTCCAGGTCAAGAACCTGTCTATAGATTCAAAGCCCACAAAGTATTCTGTTTCGGTTCTTGTACAGACGTGTGTGTAGCTGAAGTATTTACCCTTCCATCAAGTTAATTATATGTTAGTCTTCTTTTAACATAAAATCATATATAATAGTGTAAGTACATAATTCTTATTCAAATTAAAACGTTATTTTGCATAGTAACATCGCAAAGTAATAATAATTAAAAATGGGAAAACCTAATGGGCTATATTTTTAAGTTTAGGATAATTTACGCGTAAACTCGATTTGAGAAAGGTTGTTCTCATGCGGTATCGTGTTTCAAAAACAATGAATGAAGTCGTTATTAAAAAATAATAGTGACCAGATAAGTAGCTTTGTATCTATCATGGTGTTTTTGACCTCTGAATAAATACATAATTTTATGTAATGTTCAATGAAATTTCGTTTGTCCTATTGGGGGCAGAGATAATACTCTGCCCTACCTGACGATACTATACGTTTGTTTTATTTATTTGTGTCTTCTCAGATTACACGGCGGGGACAACCTCCAAATAAAGAGATATTTCGTTTCGTTCTGGAACGGTGTGGACTTAAGATACAAGTTACTAAAGGGGCCTAGAATACGAATTTCTATTGCTGGTATTATTATTTCCCGGGTAAGTGAATTTTTACAATTCGTAATATTTTCTGTACCGTACTGTAGGCAAAATATATTTTAGGTACAGAATTCCTTAATCTTTATATAGGCTGACCTTATATTACGAAAAACTATAACAGGCAATTTCTTTAGGATTTTTAATGTTGCTTGCAAATGCTTCTAAAATATATAAGTAGGTAATACGAAGCGTCCTTTATTACCTCCTAATAATCAATAAAACTCTTGTATATTTAAGAAAGTATTTAAAAAAAATTATATGAAGTATAATCTATAGTAGTACAGGGTCTAAATAAGCTAAAAGAACAATTACATAGTTGTTAACTTGAAGTTCACAGCTTCATCTGTTTCTATGCAGAGTTCATCCAAGAAGTTCTTCTTGGATTTCGGATAGCCTTCTAGAACAGTGTCTATCATTTCAGAGCAAATTCTTTTTCGTTTCCTGAAACAAATGTTTTCTATATTGGTATAGTAAATTAATGACAAGAATGAGAATCTCTATTGATTTTATCGAATATAGTTCAATCCTATCTATTGCATGATCGGATGGCATATTACGTGTCTACACTTAGGTTTTAGTGAAGGCAACGTAAAAACCGTTTTTCCATATCTCTGACCGACCAAAATATTTTATTGTTCTCTGGAATTGAACCGAGGATTTCTTAACGCAATTATTTGCAGGAAACCAGGCTATTTTTTGCCTATATATATTTGTTAGGCCTCGGTGCCACAAAGAAGCGGAGGCCCCCGGGCCCCGAAATATTTTCTAAACAAATATTTTATAATAAACGACTTTTCTTAATTGAGTTTTTTTTTTCAATAAAAAGGTATTTTGTGAAACCATTTGTAAGAAAATTATAAAAATTAGAACTCCGTTGTGCAGGGCCCTTTCGTGCACCGGTTGCCGTCCCCTATACCTAAAAATTAAAAAACTTTGTTACCTATATTCTCTCAGATACTTTTCGTGTTCACCTAAAATAGTTTTCTTTTCATCAGCACTCAATACTTCCACAGACTCGCGAAGTGTAGCCAATTTTTTCTCCATATTCTCTATATTAATTTTAGTCTGTTCTATTTGTTGCTGAGCAGCTTCCGATGTTGGCGTGCCGAGTAACGCTTTTAACTGAAGTTCTGTAGTCTTCAAATTGGTTCTTTTCTCTTCCAAATCCTTGGTGATGTTTTTTATTTGGCCGTCGTAATCTTTAGAATCATAAAAAAAACAATAAAACGTATTGAGTTGTCCTTTTGCTGACCAGAAAATATAAGAAATTTAATATAATGCTGTTGGATATGTTGGTAGTACTATATTTGGGTATAATGTGTTGTAGTCTAAAATTTGCCTTCCTTGTTTTTTGTTGCATAAAATTAATGTTTCGCTATTTATCATTTTGCATTAAAAATACAACTGACGGCGATTTTTAATATTTCATTAGTTATACGTAAGTAGATATAATTAATAATATGGTGTATTATATGGTTTCAAATGAATTCGCCGTTTTTCATTTTACAATTTTATAATATAATTATATAAAATAAATGGTAAAAAATAGATCTTTGAGATAAATCTTGGCTCTTGGTTTTTAAAATCAATGAAAAAGATGTTTTCAGCACGTTTATTTAACGAATACTATTAATGATTTTAACAATTACGCACCTTCTTTGTCACCAGGACCATCGGTATTATCAAGTTGTATTGCTGCATACACTTTTTGTTTGCCATACAGTTTGCACTTAATTTTTCCCGTCTCACTCAATGCATCTAGTGTCTTTTGTACTACACCCTTTGAAAATGCACCTCTGAGGTTCACTGTTACGTCAGCACACGAGTATGGTCTATTTGTATCCTCTAAATATTTAAGAACTGCTTCGCTTGCCATTTTCAATTTTAAATACAACTAATATTAATTTACGTAATAATAAAACCACCTTCTTAGCGCAAAAGATATACTATCACATTACTGCATTAATACATGAATAAAATATAATTGGGTCCGAAAAAACACAAGACAAAAGCGCGCGCTTTGACTCTTTAATTGCTTCACAGTTTATGCAATGGTTTAACATTTATTTTATTGTATGGCAACACAATCAAGTAATGCGTTCTGATTATTATCGACTACAGATCATATAATCACTTTGGCCTTATGAAATAATTTATCTGTATAACTTTCATTTGTACAGAACTGGCATATTTACAGATTATATACTAGAAAGTAACTCTAATAAAATTATTTTGTAGCTGGTAGCAACGCATTTCACGCCCGTTAAATAGATTTTTGTTTTATTTGTAACTTTGATATAATGTCGAATTCATTTATTTAATTTCTGTTATATAGTTTTTTTATTCTCTACTTTAGGGACGGGACGCGACGCCCTATCTAGAAAGAAATCGTGTTGGTCGAGACGCTATAGATTCGGCTGCAGCGTTGACTGACATGGGCAAGTATCTATTCAGGGAAAGAAGACTGCCTGTATACGACATTGCTGTCGCCATCACTAAGTAAGTTAAAATTGAGGAGCACTTAGAATGTCTTCAATCGGGAAGTCAATATTCTAAGCGATAAAAAATCAAATATTCGTAGGATATATTATTTTACTATATTACTCATTTAACGACTATTCTTACTGCAATCAATTAAATTTTAATTTTTTTTAAAGCAAACTATAACAATACGATTAATAATCCACAAATATGATAAACAAACAACATCTTAAATTGCAATTATTGAGGAAATATTATTTTTACGTCTTGCAAGTTGTAACTATAATTTGCAACGGATTTCCTTGACATAAAATTTAACTTCCTGCTTTGATCTTCTATAATATGGCTACCCAGAACCCTGCCTACATTTTATTTGAAATCAATATAATAGAAACATTTTGTAACACTTTAATATTATAGTAATTTAAGAATTAACAGCTTCTTATATTGTTTCCTTATATTCAATACGGATATCACAGGATTCAGGTAAGTAATTGACGTAAGTAATTACAATTTAATTTGGCGCCATTATTAATGTTCCAACAAACTGTTTAACAACTGTCAACAGCTGTCACTTAACAATGATTATTATAATTTTAAATTTCGAATACCAATAAACGGAAAGTGATGGAGGTCGCTCTGTCAACGAATGAAGACACAAAAACTGATTTTACCAACAGGTATGACATGTGCCGACGACGCAAGGGTGGTCGCTGTACAAAAGGCACCGCTGGTAATTTAATTTTATACCAAAAAGGTTTACAATGGCGAGTGGTGTTGACATATTCAGCATTAACAGAAGCTTGAAAGTGACATAATTCGGCTTGATTTTTAATGTTCGAGGTTGAGGATTCGGTAATGGCGCTAAAGCAGCCATAGACAATATTTTATTTTTTTATTTATTAACATTATAAAATAAAACATTGTGTATGCGTTGCGTAACTTTACACAATAATGTAAGCTTGCACAGTTTTGAATTAGGTTCCCATGTCTACGATTTGACAACATCTAAAATCGCAATTTAAAACCAATTTATCTAGTTATATATTTACGTGGATTTCAGACTAGACATGTGCAGGAGACAATACGCGAACGATGCGTGCAATAGAGGGACAGCAGGTAGGCGTGTGCGCAGATTTTTAAATATCCCAAGCACGCCTGTAAATCACCGAACGTCCCATACCTTACGATCACGTTAATATTTCACATCGGTACCTACCCAATACCTATTTCCGTATCCGTGATCATGCGCACCTTGTGAATAATCTATTCTTTTAACTGGTCGTCTTCACAGATAATTTATAACTTTAAACATTGTCATGGTTAATAAAATGAGGTACGACACACTCAATTGATTAAATATTGTCTGTGTGTAACCTTGAATGTATTAAACCATGTTCCAGACATTGTTTTACGCGTCCTAACTTAGAATTGTCTGGGCTTGGTAAAACATGTCTGGTAAAAATAGTTTAAAGTGATAAAAACCACTCTCAGTCGTTCTTCTAGATCTCATAGATTCTCGTAGATCTCACGTACATACTTCGCTCCCATCGTTGTAGTTTAGTCATCTACCAAAATAACATTTTAGAACAGATGTCACTCATGAGAATAAAAATCTTTGTTTACTCAGCATGATAGCTATAATACAGGCAGTAAAATAGTTTAAGTTCTAAAAGTGTTTTTTTTCAACTAATAATAGCTGGCTCGTTCCGCGATTATTCTTTGGTTAATTTAAACCTTATAATATAACAAGATTCAGTATAAGGCATATGTATATTCTTGTTCCTTATGTAAGACATGTAAAAACTGAAAAACGCGGCAATTAGACTCGAATGATATGTAAATAGACAAAAAGTTTCGTAATTGACTATAAAACGCGCATTTGCAAGTGGCTATGGCAAAGTTCGTCCAAATTTCGACATAATGATTGGCTTCTTGCTTTACCTTTCAAAAGAGCACCGGTCCATCTTCTCGATTCTCATAAACATGAAAGTTGCGTAAGGACTAGTTGGCCCTACCTTACTTAATGCGAGGACACGCTGGATTAAAAGCATTCGACCAAATTGTGTATCAGTAGCTTTTGTTTGGAATGTACTATCTGCTTATTAAAAATTCTAGGAATCCCCTAGCACTAGTCGTAGAGTAAGTTAACCCTAGTATGAGTTTAATAATAATCAAAAACATTGGAAGAAATGTATCATGCTCTATGGTATTACTTATATTGTTTTCACAATAGATATGATACGGACGCTATTACATTATGCAAATTATACAACAACTCACAAAAATTTGCTACGTCGTTACATTGCAATTTATAAATACGGTATATAGTTGTATGTATAAAGGCTTTTTCGATCTATAATAAATAGAATGTACTAACATAACGCTTCTTATTTTCAATTTAACATTCACACTATAATCAATATGGGTCTACACAGCTCCTAACATGGTGATGGAAATAATAATATGTTTAATTCTAAACTCTGTTAAAACCAATGTAATCCTCTTAAGCACTACATTTAGCCACCATCAACTTTTGTAAGTACAAATCCATTTCTTTATTTCAATTCATGTAAATCCCCAAATCAACCATTGCACTCGTTACACCATAGACAACCTTAAAACCTTTATGTTACCTGTCCTTTTTTTGTTTTTTGTTTTTAATTTCGGCATGTACTTTACTCGATTCTGTGTGTCAGGTTTTGCGTACGTTGGTGGCGCGTGCGTTGTGAACAAGCGATTGGAGAAGGTGAATTCTGTGGCCATAATCGAGGACACGGGCGGTTTTTCTGGTATCATTGTTGCCGCTCATGAAGTTGGACATCTGTAAGCCGGTTGATTAGACTATGTTCGCTGTAGGATGATGTGTGTATATGTCAAAGAGCCGTGTTATGTCAAAACTGAAATAGATTGACGTAAAAGGTATAATTATTTGAAAAAGGAATTAGTTCGTTTAGTTACTCTTAGCCCTTTAACTTATGCCATGTCAAACATATCATCCTAAAGCGGAAATAAAGCCGAATAAAATATATATTCCTTCTGTTGATACTACATTTAATCATATTTATAATACATTATACAGACTAGGCGCAGTCCACGATGGAAGTCCGCCGCCCTCGTACCTTGGTGGTCCTGGAGCCGAGAAGTGCAGATGGGAAGATGGCTTCATCATGTCAGATCTTCGGCATACGGAGAAAGGGTTCCGGTGGTCGCCCTGTAGTGTACAGAGTTTCCACCATTTTCTGAAGTGAGTTCTACTTTATGTAAAATGGAAAAAATTTTTAGATGGTTTAACCTGCTTGCTGTTTCAACCTTTATGCTTAAACCTTATTACTGGTTCATTAAGTCTTGCTGCTTTGCTTTGCTATTTCAATGACTTAAGAAAATCATGTTAATGCATCTATAGGTTGAAAAACTATGACGATGGTTAGAGGAACAGCACGGAAAGCTGTGAATGCCGGTTCGAGTACTGCCCGTGTCAAAAACTTTTTAAATCTAAAAATGATTTATAATTTATATTACAAACCGTATATTGATAGAACTAGGATGGCTTGCATATCCTAGAACGGTAGAAGTTTTGAATAATCAAGAACGTCATATTTTTTGTTTGCATATTACAGCGGTGATACAGCTACTTGCTTGTACAACTCACCACACGAAGACGACTCTTTGCCGAGGGTCCTTCCTGGTCGTCTACTAACGTTAGATGCGCAGTGCAGGAAAGATAGAGGCACGAGGTAATCCATAGATAAGAGAAATTACTAAACACTTGCGGGTAAATAAACCTAAATTAACGGTAGCAATGTATGACTAATAATCAAGGGGTCGTAGGTGCCATCCCCATCGAGTCCACCATTTTTCTAAAACATGTTAGACTTAGTCTACAAGTCTGGATATTAAATGAGTGGAAAAAATATTGAGATTCCGTCGCGTCACGAACAAGTCTTCACAGATGAAAAGACCGTCAATATATCGCGTTTCGGTTTCAATATGTGTCTTGTCGCATCTTGTTTAGATGTTCTATGTTTGGGGTATTTCTGTGCTTATGTGTTCTCCTCTTTCATAAAACAACATACATTTTCGAATGACGTCAAAAAGGATTCTTAAACAAAAATATACAGAAAATACAAAGAAGTTGTTTTATTTTTAAAATTTAACAAAGTAGCCAGTACTATTATAGATATTTCAAAAACATTCTTGACATATTTCTTTAGTCTATCCTAGAAAACTTTTCTATATATTATCTGTACTTTAATGTTGCCACATTGGTTTCAGCGCCTGTTTCAAAGACGAGCGGGTGTGCGCGCAACTATTCTGCTTCGATGCAGCAAGCGGTTACTGCGTTGCGTACAGACCTGCTGCGGAAGGTTCTCCTTGCGGCGACGGGCAGGTAAGACATATTATCACAATACACGTCTTCTTGCCACGACACGTCTATATTCCCTTACAAACAGATTAAACAATTTGACGTAGAACATCTTCGGATATTCAAATATTGAATCTGCTGCTATGTATAAAATAACTATATAATGAGGAAATTTTATTTATACACTACCATGTTAATGATCACCTTCGCGAATGAATTGTTAAAGACGTCGTTTTAAGAGCGATAGGTCTTGCAGTCGAATCCGGAGGAATATACTTGAATAAATAGAAATAAACATGGAAATATGTCTGGCCGCGAGAAGAGATATTATACATATTTAGTACACCCGGGTTATAACCATTAAGTAAATCCTAGGCTAGTGTGTTGTCCCTTATCATAAATAAGTATATTGTATTTAATTATACTTTTATTTACTATGTTTATATAACTACCCCCAAAAACATAACTTTCCTTTTACGCAGTAGGTTAAACATGTCTGCCACAATTTTATTAACCGCAAGTTAGAATGACATAATCGATGACAAGTTATAGACCACCAATAAAATGATCAAATCGATTCCTGTTGATTACGAACAAGCGTAACTCGATGCGATATAAGTTACGCTAAAATTACGCAACGTTATGCCCAGTATTCTGTAACGGTTAACACATTTAATGCTTCACCGATATGCGCTGGCTCTGCACGGGTGCGTCTCAGGTATTGCCTTAATAGATTACCTCAAAATAGTTGCCGATATAGTATAAGAACATAAGTATAATACGTAAAATAGGGCCTTAACAGAGTAACTAAATTAAAATGTCAAATAAATCTAAATTATACGATTTCATTTAAAAATATAAACCGAATGTACAGAACCGATATAGGGCACCTTACTTATCTATATTTAGGTAACTTATGTAGTCCAAAGTGTAATTTGGAATTTTTAGATTTGTATAAAAGCAACAACGATTTTATAAAGATTGTTGAAAATTCTATGTAACTATTAATAACAATAATGTCTCTTCCAGTACTGTATAAACGGGCGATGTATAACAGAACATGAAAACATAATTCCTGACTTCTCGCAACACACGCCGAGCTACATAAGGCCTGAGACGAGTCCGTTCTTCGGAAACATTACGAGGTACACCCATGGAGATAGCACATATAAAAGATTTTTAATAAAACGTACAAATTCTCGTAGTGTATGTCTAAAGAGTATCAAACTGTCACTGTCAGATGTCAAAATTGTGAAAGTGACATGAAAACTACCTTCCAACTATTTTCCTATCGTGTGTTATTCCTAGACATTTACTACGTTCAGATTTAGAATTTAAAGACAAAGTAAAATATGTAATATGTATTTAAGTATAGTATAATATTCGAGTTTTAAATTTAGCCAGATCGCCAACATCCAAAGAAATACTAATTTATAATTTTTACGCACACAACCACAGTATCGAAGACACAACACAGCCATACCAACTAGTAGCTGCTACTGAGCCATTCCAACAGAACTATTACAATGAAAGAATAAACCAAGAAACCACCACTACCACCACCACCACGACAACAGAGAGCCCATACCAATATTACTTCTACACACAAGAACCTAAAGAAAAAACAGAGAAAGCAACGGAAGCTACGAAATTCCCGCCATCGCTAAACTTATATTCAGTATCGACAACCCGAAGCCCATACGACTTTCAGGACTTCTATTTGAGGACCACAAAAGCCGAGCCTAAACGCGGCTTCTTTAGCAAAGACGACTTAGAGCACTACTTTTCCCGTACAACGAAAAGCCCTTACCAAGACAAAGGAATCAAGTCTATATTTAAATTTGGAACATATTACAATCAAAAGTCTTCGGACAACTCAATTAGACCAGACGCCAATTCACAACAAGTACAAATTGAGCCGGCGAGATTAGTTTACTCCTATCAGAGGAATTTGACAGGACCGCTCATATAATGTGCCAAACTTGGTAAGGATTAATCATCCTTCATGGAGAGTGGATCATGTCACTTCGTCCTTCTTTCGAGTCAGAGCTGTGGAAAAAAATGTTGTTGTTATGACGGTTAAACAGACACTTTGTTATAGAGGGGGTAGATTGTAAAAAATACTGATTAACCACTAAATCAAGGCCCTTTTATATTGATCTCATAAAAACGCAAAAAATTATTAGTATAGTTATAAATGAATGGGTTTAAGATCTGTAACAAGTCTGTTGCCAGTTAACAATTTTAAAGCTCTACTCTTCCAACATCTATATTCACGTCAATCGATACATGAAAAATACGTCACCAAAATCTCCACTACTTTACCTGTTGTACCACGAAACACTTCATTACTTCTTACGGCCACTGTATAATATAAAACTGCATTACATCTGTCATCACTTCACAGACTGTATATAACCCACATACCAATTCTTGAAGAACTTCGAAAATGCTATTCACATACCTTTATACATTTTCTTGCGCATGGATTATGTCACAGTTTAAACTATACGAAAAAATAAATAACAAGATACGCTAAGATACATTGTCTATGACAGATTTGTCAGACAACGTGCCTTTACCAACGTAACGTTATTTTGTGTGATATAATTAGTAAGTTCCTTAGTTGGTTTCAGTTTCCAATGCACATTTCAAGTACATAATAATTTAATATAATTAATATTTTATGTTTCAGTAGCCGCCATTAGCGAAACGAGCGGGATACATAACTGAAGACTGCTAACTGCTGGATGTGACAAAAGAAAAGGCGCGAAAACGCCTTGTCTATGCCGTCCAATCCAGAACATAAATTTGCAGATTGTGAAGTGTTCGCACATTAAACTTGAATATTACCCTATTAGGATTTTTAATCTATATTATTTTTCGATTTTATTATACGACTAGACACGATTTTCATCAAGTATGAAAACCACGGATCACAAAAATCCTAATAAACGTTGACAAAAAATACATAAATATGTATTTTTGATCAGTAAAATTACACCATAAAATACCTATTTATTACTATAATAAGACTTTTTTTTCTTTATTTGTATGAATGGGTAATATTCAAAGTACTGCGGGTAAAATGTGTGCAACACAAGTTTGTATGAAACGTGTCTGAAGACAATATTATAATAGTGTCAGACATTGTTGTGAGTGATATTACAATGTGATTGTGTTTTAATAAACTTTAAGTACAGTAGCTTGTAAATTGTGTATAATACGACGAACAAGAACAAGGATTCCTTAGCAATAGATATATTTTAGTCTATGGTATTTCGTTTCAAAACGGTTGTAAAATAGTATTTCTATAAGTGTAACGTAAAGGAAACTGCCAAGAAGTGCCTTTTATGACTTGATAGTCTTAAGATTACTATAATAATCTGATTACCATACGAAATCTGGTACTTATTTCAATAGGCTTTCATATGTGTATGTATTATTGTGTTTGTGTCAAAATATATTAAATAAAACATGAAACGGTTTAAAATGCTTCTACGCTAGCGCCACCTCTTTCTGCTTCCGTTGCATCTTTGACTTTGACATTAGAACGCCCGTCCGTTGAGTTCCATTGGCATTGGCCCTCCATGATCACAGTTGGCAAATAAATAATAATAATTAATATATTCATTGCAGAAAATATATATATACTATGGAAGCCCATACGCTGCACTAGATACTTTTATTTATGAAATATCTTAGCGACTGGATCGCATCTTTATTCTTTATAATAATTTGCCTCCAAATCTTTTCAGCAATAGGATTCTATCACTTGCCACTGTCAATACAATAGTCTGTAGGTTTGTTTTCCTTAAAATTATTTATGACGATAAAGTTACCATAGATTAGTTTGGCAAAGAATAAACAACAATTAATTAATTTTATTTGCCGACTATTTATTATTTCCTATTTATGTATTCCTTTTGCCCTAATGTATGCTATAAGAAAAATACAAAATAATTTTTATAAGTAACGACTTTTATTTCACTACAACCGTCACCAGAATACATAGATAATAACAACTGTAAACTTAAAGTTAACATGCATCTTAAGCAGGTCAAATCAATTATAAAAATGTATAAATTGAGCCAAATTGATAAAAACAAAAGTCAAGGTTGACAAATTATCTATCAAACAATTATGCTAATCATTGTGATAAAATTTTTGCAACATTTAGAAATAAGTACTGGTCAAACTACTTTGATGTTGATTTTTAATGACTGTTAAATACATGCCCCAGTATAATTTTATTAAGTTGAAAAAATAGTGCTCAACATTGTGGAGGTTTAGCCAGTCTTAACAGGTAACCTATTAGATCCTACATTCTTAACCAATAGTTTAGTTAACATACCAACTGACATACAAAACATTAAACCTGCCGGCATGAACTTCCTGCCATTGTAATATCTGAAACATAAATATTATCTGTTAGTTTAAGAAGTCAATATAATTGGATGTTTTAAAACTCCTCATTATAATTTACTAAACAAGTAATATTTATTAATCTGTCAAGTTATTGAGTAAAACAGTAACAATATGAGTTATCTTTAAGCTAAGTTTTATGTCTAAGTTTAATACCACTGATCAAATGGGTTTTGACAGCTGAAATATCTTAACTTTTCTAGGGCATATCTATCTGTGTTGTCATAAAGTTTTTCAGTATTGATGATGGGTTCCTATATCTTTTCTTATAATTTGCAATACAAGGTACTATTTACCTATATCCCATTAAACCACCCAAAGTTGTAGTTGTTCCAAGCATTAATGTATAATTAGAGGGATCTTGACTTAATTGGTATGCTCCAACACCTAAAATAATAAATTATATTACATTAACAAAATCTTTATGTATACATATAGTATATTAATCTTAATGCATCAATAAAAACAAGCTTAAGAGCTTTAGGTTATAATTATGACAAGAAATCTTGTTAAAAAATTAATAATAACCAATTTTATTTGTTTCTTAAACATGATGGAAAATTTACTATACTTTCAAAGCATTTAATCATTAACCTTAAAAGTTGTTCATGTAGTGTCTTTAATGAAAAAGCTAATTATGATTTTGAATATCTTAGCAATACATATTCCATACCTAAAATTGATCCAAAGATAATTCCCGGCTCCCAGAGAAGGAATAGAGCCTGAAATAAACAAATAGAACAGTTATATTATATGTAAGTACTGAGTTACATGTAATCAGTGAACATTCAACACGACTTTCTTCTTCTTTTATAATGTAAGATCCATAGCCAAAATATATCCACATAACTTTATCTAACCATTCCTGCTTTCAAAAGGTCAATGGGAGCGATGAAATTTTAACGTTAACAAGTATAAGTGAGAAATAAAATTGTGTGTGATAAGAATATTGTGAATATGATCTGTTATCTACAATACCGACCTGCTTTGGCGTAGCCCATAATACCACCGGCAGCAACAGTCGCGGCGTATGCAAATCCTAGGATATCGACTCCCATTTTTAAAAGTTCTATAGTTCTTTTGTGTCAAAATGTACCACGGAAACCAAAATTAATTGCTTATAATATTTTCTAAACAATTTGAAAAATTTTGCACAACAGCAGACAACTACAAAAATTGAAGTTTACAAAATGATATATCACTATCAGTCATTTGGGTACTCTTGACAATCGAAACTTCGTTGTAGTAGTTATACCAACTGTACACTTCAGCCATCGCAGCTTGTATTACTCTGTGGGCAGTTCAATAAATGTCAATTTGAGTTTGACAAGTGTTAAATAAGTTAAAAGTTCGAATTTTGGTTTTGATTATTTTATGCAAAATTCAAAAAAACCTTTAATGGCTGGTAATTTTCTTTGTTAATTTTAACAACAATTTAGAATAATTTTAGACATGTTATAATGACAGAGAAAAACGTTGTCCTATAAATTGCCTAATACTACCTGAAAGTGCGTCATGTCTTTTCTAAACAGCTGATAATTTGTTGCTCTTGTAATTTCGTATGAACTTGCAAAGTATGAAATAGAGCGATTTAGATTTCCATAATTCAGTTGAACATCGCGTCCGGCGGTGAGAGCTCGCTGAGCATCTGTTTGTAAAAATTTAGTGAAATAAAATATTAATTATGTTGAAAAGTGCTTCAAAAGTAACAATTAACACTGGAAACGTGTTAAATCTCATTGACATAAAGAAAAAAGCTGGACAGAATGTAACTGAAGAGGTAAGTCTTGTGTTGAACATACAAATTGGCTTACAAACTAATCCATCCCAACTTTAATAGATGTTCAATTGTAATTCACAGAATTTGTACTTACAATTTACAAGCATACATTAAATATTTTTTTGTTTACTGTTACATCTCCTAGTAAATAACCATTCTTCATTATATGCACCGACAGTTACAAATCTAAATAACAAAATGAAATACAAGTGGGCCATGGAATTCGAAGAACTGTCAAAAACTCTATTTCAATGTATAACTTCTCTATTCAACCTCTGTTAGAACTTAGATAGAGAAAGGCAGTCAGAATTTACTAGTTTTTGTTTGTTTGTAAGTGGCCTTGATTTTACAATATTAGTAAAATAATGAAGTGTACAAATATTTTTGACTATTAATAATTGTTTTATGTTGTAATTTACACACAAATTTACTAATGTTTGTATTTGTAAATAATATAGAAATAAGCCAGTAATAATTGTATCTATGGATTTTAAGTTCTATAATATAAGCTATTTTTATCATGGTGTACTTCCCCACCTCTTTTTACTATATATGTCAGCATTTACTTGAACATGACTCGGCATGTTACCACGCTAAAGATAAATAAATAACCTCATAAAGTGTTCTTTGTGAGGATAATTGATAATATAGAAGTGATGTCACTTATTCCATGGTTCTAATATTTTTTTGTCTACTATGAGACTAGTGACTATGGTATTTTAAAATGAAATAATAATCATACCTTTATGTTTTATAAGTTAGCGTTCATACATAAAGTACGTCACACGTAAAGGGGGGAGGGGGGGGTCGACAAGGTGTGAGATGGTGTGACAAGGGGTGGGAGGGGTCCTAAGTTTCGTGACATCACATTTTAAAATCGAATGTATCTAGAGGTACTAATCGCGTGATTTGAAATATTAATTAAACTAAAAAATATTTCCAACTCTATCGAATAACGAAATAAAGATAATTTCGGAACTGCTGTTTTAATTTAATAATTTTTCGATGTGAAAATGCAAAACATGTGACGTCACACTAGGGAGGGGGGTCTCAGAAATCTGACCACCTGTGACAAGGACGGGGGGGGGAAAGGCTCAAAAAATCATGAAATACGTTGTTTGGCTGTGTTTGTCATGCTCCCGGGGTATAAACAAGTAAATGTGTCATGTTTACTTAAAACTTCACTTCAAAAAATTAACAGAACAATAAATCCCACATTACAGTTATCTGAAAGCATCAAGCTTACCCTCTCTGAGTGGGGTACTCAAAATGGCCTCCCCACACAAAATGGTACTTCTGAATCAAACTCTCAGCACTACATGGTTGTATCCACATCCAAGGCTTTAGAAGCTGTGGTAAACATCACCAGGCCACATGATGACGTCCAGATCAAAATGGCTGAAGAGGATCGAAAGAACCTCAAGATTGGTGTGAAGATATTTATTAATGAGGACAGCCCAACAGCCTTGAGTGAATGCTTGGAGAATGGTGAGTGTACCCTTTGAAATAAAACACTTTTAGCAGTTTAAAATGAGAAATATATTAGTTAACTAATTTTTAATTTACCTTCACCCCACCCAATGTTTCTCTTGTTACTATAAGGAAATCATAATTTTTTAAATTAATACACTAACAACTATAGCGTATCAGCAAGTTGTGTACCAAAAAATTATATGTGCATCTGTGCTGCAGGAAAGGATAAAAAACTTATCACTTACAACCAATAATAAAATTATAAGATTCATCTGTGGGACATGATAGTTTTATAAGTTTTATTTGATTTAATTATTTTCATAGTCCATATTCTATTTAAATAAAACCATATCCAAGTCACACCCTTTTTAATTCCCAAAGTTCTACAGCTGACTAACATCAATATCACATCAGTTATGTTTGGTTTCAAAGTTTATTAAACAATTTCTCTCTGCCTCACACTGATAAATGATAACCTAAAATTAAATAATGAGTAATACTAGTATTACCTCTGATTTTTGTTGATAAAATAAAGACGCTCATCATCTTATCTGCTAACATTAAGACGACCGCTCTGATAATACGGCAATTGTTTTATCATTTTCATATAAGAATATTAATTTTAGGATATACCGATTAATGTTTATTTTATAAAAGATTAAAAACCCGTAGACAACAAGAAGTATATTGTCTTTAGTTTACATATTTACATAAATACTTTAAACAATTTTAAACACGAAATAAATTAGTTAACTTACTTTTAAATTAACTAAGGCCGTTTGCAACTCTTGGCGGTCTTGGCGGGCATAGGTTAATTAAATGAAAAATTAATAATAACAATAAATCTCTTTATTTGGCATTCTTTTTATAGATTCATTAGAAGTAGTAATAGAAATAAGTGTAATCACAATAAAAAAAATACGTTAAGATTAAATTTAATTAAAAAGTCCAAAATGTTTTGTCAGAATAAAGTTATCTACAACACTATTTTCAAAGACCCTTTAATAAGTTTATTTTTTTTATTTTCCATTTTAAACCTTAAAAGTTTTATTTTTACAAGGAAGATTGTTTAATTTGTAAAAAGTATTTTTAATATATTTGAAGTATATTGTAGATAGTTATAATACACTTGGGCATGTCAAGTCGTTTGAAAAATGGTGGCTTTTAATAAATATTTCGCACTATTTTAATAATCTTCACTTCAGTTGCAGAAAAGTATTTGTCACGATTACTAATAACAATATTTTCGAAATTCCTTTACCAAATTGATGAATTATAACAATCACGCTTACATTCAATTTATTGAAACCGGTCTATGTCCTTTGAGAATTCAATATACAAACGTTGAAAATCGCACACATAATGACGCAGCAGATTTTCAAGGATAGATTTATCTTAAGGATGCCTTTATCTTGTTTCTAATCTCTATGAATATATTTTATCTATTATATATCAAGATACATTATTTGCTATAATAAGTAATCTTTGTTTAAATTATCAATAGAACTATTAACGGATCTATGTACAGTAGAAGCCGTTGAATATGATTCGTCATCCCGTTTAATACGCCCGATCGGAGACGAGAAGAACCCGAGATACTGCAGGGTTTTTTGCTTATTCTTCTCAATGGACGATTTTGGTAGGGTCTCTGAGAAATTTCATTTTAGTGCTGTACCGTGAGTACATTTACTACTTCTGTTGGTTTAAATCAGGGATGTTACGGAGCCTCGCCTCCGATTCCGTTAAGACGGAACTTCCGATAATTGTTACACCTTCGGTTCCGACTTCGGCTCCGACTCATTTAAAACGAAGGTTTTAATCGGAGGTCGAACCATAGCGGCAGCGTGGCGGCCTGTGTCGACGTGTAATATTGGTCGTGTCCACCAGGCTCGGTAGCCAGCGAACCACTGTTTAGTGGCGTTGGTCTAATCTACGACTCGTTAAGAAATAGATTTTAGTAGAAAGCTTTTGTCCTTAAAGTAAAATACACTACTTTTGAAATCAATTCTGAACGAGGTGTTTAAATAAACAACTTGACCGATTAAAGACTTTAATTTTTATCCACGACCGTAACAGAGCTTTCGCTTTGATTAGTCCAACAATAGAATGCCTAACCAAATGTCGTGCACGCGCTTTCGCGCCTTCCGAACGTGAATGCACCATCTTCATCTCGGGAGTGAACGATCTTTGTCACTACAGACTTATCACACCACAGACTGTTCACATCACAGACTATATCACAGTCTACGGCTCGGTTTGTGATTGGCTCTGTTTGCTAACATGATGGTTAGCGGCTTGCATGGCTGCATAGCTGGGCTGCTGGCTGCCTTGCCTGGCTGCTGCTGGCTTGGCTGGCTGGCTGGCTTGGCTGGCTTGGCTGGCTTGGCTGGCTTGGCTGGCATCGACTCGGCTTGTAGGGCTTACACAACATCTTAGGTAACGCGTTACAATCGGCCATCCTGCAACGATTGCTCCCGCAACGGGAACAAATACGTATTTAGCTTTCTAGTAAATCAATCAAATCCTCAGTTTCTACTTGTTCGTCACCACTAGAGTCGCTTTCAGTACTGGGGCTATACTTCGATAAGGACGTAATGCGTCAGCAGAAACCAACCCCATAAAACTTTTATACCCACGTACCCCCTTTATACTTCTGATTTTATACCTATCATTACCTAGTACTTTAGTTACAATGTATGGACCTAAATGATCCACATAATTACTCTAAAGGATCGGCAGGTTTAGGAATGGGATGTAGTAGCCCTTCTCGCCTACCATTTTCACCCTTTCCATACGCACAGTGTAAGCAAGCCGTCACATATTTTTTAATAAAACGACTCATTTTCGGAAACCAATAATCATTTTTGATTAAATCTGTACAACGCTTTATTCCTACATGTCCTATATCATCGTGATGCATTTGAACGATTTTCCACCTAGCTACCCTAGGAACAACAAGCCTATTTCCGTTAATAGTCTGTCTATATAATCTATCGTTAATAACTACGAAGTCCCTAACTATGTCCTTATCTGCGGCGCCCGATTTTAATTGATCGATAATACTTTTGACTTTTTCATCCTGTATCTGAACCGTATAAAACCAATCTTCAGACCCCAACCTATACACATTGACCGTATTTAATGCGTTCCTACTTAAAGCATCAACGTGTCTCATTCGTTCTCCGGGTCTGTATTCAATATCAAGGTCGTAATCCTGTATCATCAACCACCATCTTGCAATTCGAGGAATTAAATCGCGTTTAGTTAAGGTCGAACGAACGGCTGTACAATCAGTGACTACCTTTACTCTTTTACCTACTATGTAAATTCGAAACTTCCGTAGTGATTCAACAACAGCAAGCGTTTCGAGTTCATAACTGTGGTACATACTCTCATGTTTAGATGTTATGCGACTAAAATACATGACTGGCCTCAAAGTGATATCAAGTTGTTTTTGTAAAAGGATGCCCGCTATCCCGGCCTTACAGCTCTGTATGAATCTCAACCTCAAGAGAAGGATCATATAAAGCTAACACAGGTTTAGAACACAAGCGTTTCTTTAATTCTATAAAACTCTCCGCCTGAGTAGTGCCCCAATTCCAAGCTACATCCTTCTTAGTTAAATCAGTTAATGGACGAGCTATTTGAGCAAACTTATAGATGAATTTCCTAAAATAACTGCACAACCCTATAAACTGCCGAACTTCATGTACATTTTTGGGTGCTGAAAATTGTGAAACTGCATTGAGCTTATGTTCTGCGGGTTGTACTCCATGTTCAGAGATCTCATGACCCAGATAAGTAACTTTTTGTTGCAAAAATGAACATTTATTCATATTTAATTTAAGATTTTCTAATTTAAATTTACTAAGTAATATTTCTAACATTTTAAGGCCACCCTTAACACTTGTTGAAGGTAACAAGATATCGTCTAAGAACGCTAGTACTTCACATGAGTCTTCGAGGCTATTATTGATTGAACTCACTATCCTACTAATTAGTCGCATGAACACTGCGGGTGAATTTGCTAACCCAAATGGCACTCTAGTATATTCATAATGCCCTGCTTGACAAACAAAAGCACTTTTGTGAGTATCTTGTGGCTTTAATGGAAGTTGATAATAGCTTTGTGCCATGTCGAGACAAGTGAAATATTTTTTCCCTGACAACTTTGCTATATGATCTTCAATATTAGGCATAGGATACCTATCTTTTATTGTAATTGAATTCAAGGCACGATAGTCTACACATAACCTACTATGCCCATTCTTTTTCTTAACTAAAACAACAGGAGATGCATAACTTGATTCGGACTCTTTGATAATACCTGCATTTAACAATTCAGTAATTTTACTTTTTACAATGTCCTGTTCACAATGTGATAACCGATAGGGATGGCGATAAATAGGCTTTTCAGTGGTGAGATTGATTGGCATTGAAATGAGATTAGTACAACCAAGGTCGTCAGTACCCCTAGCAAAGCAATCCTTAAATCTAACTAACAATTCTATTAATTGTGAATATTCACTGTCTGTTATTTTACCAATATTCATATCTGCTATTTGAACACCCCCAATAGTATCTTCAGGCTTTAAATGTAACACAGATTGCACACAGTTAGTAAAATAAGGAAGGCTAACCTGGCTATCTATGGCTGGCTCTGAGCAATCCTCTGCCCGCGTGAGGATTTGACTGGCGTCCCATGTTATGTCCTTTTGGCCGCTGTTGATTATCTTTATGTAACCCAAATTGCCTCGCAAAAGCGTAGCTGGTAAAGAGTACGAGATATCTCCAAACTCATAATGTCGCATAGCACTGCATACATTGTTGTCTTCGCGGTTTCCTTCAACTCTTACTCGGATAATTGACGTTCCCGGGGGTAAAGTTTCTTTGGCAGCCGTGACGACGATATACTTTCCCAATTTGTTAATGTCATTAATTTTAGATAGAAAATCACAATTCTCAATTAATCTCAGAGTGGCCGCGCCATTTTCAACCGTCAATGTCACGTTTCCCGCGTTAATGACAGGCTGTCCAATCAATAGGTCTACGTCACCCATCTCTGCGTCTGTCAAGTAAGCTTCACTAGACATTTCCAGGTTATCTATTTTCAATTTTATTTGAACTTTCCCGCGGGATGTAATTAAACCGCCGGCAAACCCTTTTAAGTATTATTTTCGTTGGTATGACTTTTAAGGAAAGGGCAGTAGAAATCTTCGCGCTCATTACATTTACTTGGCTACCAGTATCCAGATATGATTTGATATAAATGCCATCTACTTGAGCTGTTTTTTTGTAGGTATCGTTGTAATTTTGAATTAATTTTATGTCTCTAACACCACCACCGGCCGAGTTTAAAATCGAAGTATCACATTTTGTGGCTATATGTCCTTGCTTACCGCATTTATAACACAGGCGTAGATCTGGCATGGAACAATTACGCAGCATGTGACCAACCTTCTTACATCGTGGGCACGGGTCGTTTTCATAAACTTTTGGGACAGTAAAAGGTTGGTTCTCTTTGCATTGCGGGCGGGTGACAGATTGTCCCCGATAGTCATCCATTGCGCTAAGGAACCCTTCGTAAAGTTCATCAGGACGTTCGCATTGAAAAGCAAGTGCGTTAGGTTGCAAGGAAGCGGGTAGGCCGCGTATTATACATGACACGCTAGCAGCATCCGATAGCTTACATCTAAAACATAATGTAGCTTTATCTTGATAATATTTGGTCATAGATTCATTAGGTAGCTTTTTCCTTTGCATCATTTCCTCTAGCAAAGAACCGTAATCTCGATGCTTCGGAAATGCGCGTAGCAACAAGACTTTCCATTCTTGCCACGTATGATCATAATCATCGAGTCGATTATACCATTTGCGAGCCTGACCGCGTAGCTTGTCTTGAAGGTAGAATGCCTTTACTGTGTCACTCCATGTATATATCTCTCCCAATTGCTCGATCTTATTTATCCAGGCCGACACCGTGCAATCGTCGCTGTCAGGATCGAAATCGGGAATTAGCGATGACGTTCGTTGAGGGTTGCTTGGGCCGGCGCTAGAGATTTCCTGATTTAGATCGTTCATGGCTCTTTTTACTTCATTTTGAAGCAATTGCTTTAACAATTTCTTGGCAGGCGGTTCCTCATGATTTCGGTCAGTGTTGTTTTTTTTTGGAGGAACTGTTTCGGCGGACGCCGTGTCCAACTTTATTGCGCTTCATCCCACTTCTGAATTGTAACGAGGTAGTTTAAATAAACAACTTGACCGATTAAAGACTTTAATTTTTATCCACTATGACCGTAACAGAGCTTTCGCTTTGATTAGTCCAACAATTAGAATGCCTAACCAAATGTCGTGCACGCGCTTTCGCGCGCTTTTTCCGATACGTAAATGCACCATCTGTCATCTCGGGAGTGAACGATCTTTGTCACTACAGACTATATCACACCACAGACTGTATCACATCACAGACTATATCACAGTCTACGGCTCGGTTTGTGATTGGCTCTGTTTGCTAACATGATGGTTAGCGGCTGGCATGGCTGGCATAGCTGGGCATGGCTGGCATGGCTGGCATGGCTGGCTTGGCTGGCATGGCTGGCATGGCTGGCTTGGCTGGCATGGCTGGCATGGCTGGCTTGGCTGGCTTGGCTGGCATCGACTCGGCTTGTAGGGCTTAGCACAACATCTTAGGTAACGCGTTACAATTCATTTGATTTAATTTGTTCTTGGTTGTTGTTGTTGTTGTAGCTTTTGTTCATTTAATATAATGTAATATGCTACTTTGAGTTTGGGTTTAAATTCAATTATTTTAATTTCTTGTTTATTTGGAAATATTAAATTTTTTATTGTTTGCATTTTATTTTACAATTGAAAATTGAAATGAAAAAAAAACTTAACTTATCAATGTTTTATTTGCCCTTAAATAAAAATGATCTCTCGTGCCACCACTTCTGACTCTGCCTCCGATTTCGACTCCGGTTCCGAATCCAATTAAGCAAATTCAACAACTCCGACTCCGGTTTCGATTCCGGTAAAACTACCTCTGTTACATCCCTGTTTGCAATGTTTAGGTTATAAGGTATATGAAGTGGAACTTACTGGACGAGGGATATTGTTGTCTCTTGTCCTCGCAAAAGCCCAGTCAAAATTAGTTTACGTTTTTTTAAAGCTTTTAAATAAAAATACTGGTTTTATATGTTTGAATTTTCGTCGAATAGCGTAATTTGAAGACTAGTGAAACACATCGCCCGTTTCGAAGAAACACAAAATAATTATGTTAAAAAAATTACTCTATTTTGATTTAGGATTTATCACAAAAAAAGTTAATTAAATAAGCATGTTTCCAATTCCAGTTTTCACTGCACTGCGCACCGAGCTGATAGAAAACGTAATCCTATCATACAACCCTGAGAACGTCCACAAAGAGGGTCGAGACGAAAATATGAAGAGTACATTTACTAAGGCATCGCCTATTTCGCTTGGAAGTAATGTTGTCGGTAAGTCATTGAATACGACTTGAGGAAAAATATGAAAAATCTTATTAGCATATAAGGCTATAAAGAACTACACTACACGAGACTCGGTATATAATTTTATATACTGTCTGAAGTTTTACGCGAATACACATTGAAGTAAAACACTTTGACGGTTAAAAACTCGATTTTTAAACCGTTAAAGTGTTTTGTTAAAATAGTTTTATATATGGTAAATATTACACATTACAATAACGTGCGTTATTAAAAAGGTGTTGTCGGTTTCGGCTTAAAGAATTTATTCTCTCTAAGAATATATACATTTATGCACACAGATCTCTCTTGGCCCTCCTGTTTTACATTTATGTTTTCATTTGTGCAAATTATCCCGGTGAGAAACTAAATCTTTCTTGTTAATAGAGCACGACGGTTCTTAATAATTCTTTAATGTCGTAAAACCAAAATCTAACCATACACTGTTGAAAACCATAAAATACAACGCCATAAAGCAAATAGATGTGGGATGTGATTTAGGAATAGGGAAATAGTATTCACTCGAGAGCGAAAACGACTCAAGGTGACTTGCAATCAATGTTGCTTGTAATAACTTTTGACATGACTGGCGATTTGTTATCGAAGTTGAGGTATTGGCTGGTATGGTTTGTCTCGTCTTTTTATTATGTACCTAGTTCTAGATTAGTATCGAAGGTCTCATTAATCTTCGCAAATATTTTTTTATGACAACTATTAATTCAATACTTTTTGTTGTTTACGCGAGAGTACACATTTAAATAAAACGCTGACGGTTTAAAACGCGATATATATTTGTTAGTTTTGTCTCCCCGTGACCACGGCTTCTGCGAAGCATCCGAAACGTCGGGCCGTTCAAATAGGTTTAACTAATATATATCGCGTTTTAAACCGTCAAAATCGTTTGAACGAAGGTGAAATACCCTAGCCATATTACATCTAAACAAGTTGCGCTGTCCGACCTATTTTGGCTTTGGATATTTTTGTTTTGTTTTATTTTGGATGTTTTGACCATTGCTTAAATCAGTTTAACATAAAACTTATCACAAATCTCTAATATATACACGCGATGAAATGAGGCAGAAATGTATGGTGTATAGATGGTAATTCAACGACAATGATAGTACGACAAAACTGCCATATAAATTAAAAATCAGTTATTGATTGAAAAAAATTTCATGGTTTTTCCGTACCATGAAATTTTCATAGTGCCATAATGTGTCATAATTACATGTGAAAAATATTAAAGTTTTCAAGTTCATATCGTTTGGCAAATCTTTAGAGGAATTTATATCCTAACTGTGTTCAAAGGGCAATAAGTTTCGAATTTAACCATATAAATTGACACATTCAGGGTTGTTATTACTTGTATATTATGTTTCTTACTTCAATTTCCTCTTATTTAAATTTCAGTTCGCAATTCAAGCAACGAAATGGAGGCAGACAGCGACGCGGACGCAATGAAATGTGAAGCCATCCTTCCGGGCATCAAAACACTCTGGGCCGTTCTAGAAGATTATGTAAAAGACGGTAAGGTTAAATTCAGCCATAATTATAAATCGATTAACACTTCCTATGACATTGGATTGTTATCTTAAGTGCTATAATCATTTGTTTTACCTTATTATTTTCACATACATTTGTTTATAATAGAGTAGGGCAGACAAACATGGTTCACTTAAAAGTACGTGAAATATCCCAACGATTAAACATCGAACCAAGATGCGCTGTCGGCCTATTTTGGCTTTGGATATTCGGAAATCCATAGACACTAAACTTGACAACATTTTAACCTTTAAATAAAACACTAACGGTTTAAAATGCGATATATTAGTTAAACTAATTTGAAAATGATTTTTAACTTCGGCCCGACGTTTCGGATTGCGGATTTGCTTTGCAGCAAGTTTAACTAATATATCGCGTTTTAAACCGTTAAATTGTTTTATTTAAATGTGTACTACTCGCGTAAACTATAGACAGTATTTAGCATTTTAACCTTTATACGGTGACTTGTGACGCGGACGGAATTTAGATTTTTCTACCATTTTATTATCCAAATTTCCAGATGAAATCCAATATGTTTTAGAAATGTTATAAAATCGATTAGAAAAATGTTGGGACTGATGGGAATCGATTGATCGACCATTGATTAATGGGCCATGAGTTCGATTCTCATTATATACAAATTTAACTGCAGACTTGATTCTTGGACCTCATACTCCCTTTTTGTGGCAAGTTATTATTTTAAATTATTCAGGTCGAGTCCTCCAACTTGGAGTGGCCGATGTAGGGGGCGGTTGCCTCTATAAGTTGCACGGCTGGGCTAAAGTAAAGCCCTCCATAGCTCAAATTAACCTCGCCTCTTGCTGCGTGGTGCCACCGAGTCTCCACACGTTCTGCAAAGCCAATGACGTACAGTTGCTTACTCACGCTGATCCGCCAGGTAAGAAATATCTATATATAACCGTTAAAGGGATAACATTTATTTCATATTTATTGTATATTATATATATTTGGGTTACGGAAATCGAACCTAGAACTTACCACCCATAACAACCACTTGACAATATTTTAATTATTTAAATAAAACACTTTAACAGTTTAAAACTTATTTTTATGTGCAGCAGACGTGGTCTAGTATAACTAATATATTTCGCGTTTTAAACCGTTAAAGCGTTTTATTTACATGTCTACTACTACCATAAACTGCAGGCAGTATTTAATATTTAATTAATTAAATTTTTACAAGTCACACCAAATAATCATACCTCTTCAGATAAGGCTGTAAATTGAATTACAAATCAAAACAATATTTTCGTTGATAAACGTTTTCATTTAAATAAATCAATTTTAACGGTTTGAAACGCGAAATATATTTTTTTTATTAATCACGGCCCAACAGCAGCCGTGGTCGCGGGGGCGGCCTTATTTTAATGTCTAATGCTCGCGTAAAGTACTAAGTAGATAAACTAGGAAAGCTGAAACAATAAGAAGAAAACAACGCAAATAAGTTCCCTTTTTATTATATATTTAGTTATCGTGAATGGCAAAAGTACCAGGATTGTATAACATAAAAGTGCTCAACATAGAAGTAAATACTTATTTCTTTTCCAGATCTATTATCTGTGGCTGCACTTAAGACGCTTTCGGACGCAGGCATCGGTTGCAACAACCTGGACTGGTGCGCGAGGTACCAGGTTCACATAAAATGCAGGGGGGTGCTCGCTCTCAAGGGATACGTATGCAAAGCATCTATTGGCCCTCAGTAGCTTAACTTCGAATATTGTAAAAAGACCTCTATTTATTTCAGTAATGCAATTTTCATGAGCAGGATTCGAACTGAAACAACATTTAAACACATTTTTGAGCTGTACGTGGCAGCACAATGTAATTTCGATCATATTACAACCGAGTAAGGTCGAAATTTATATTAAAAAAATCAAAAAATGTTTTACGGTAACATAAAGCATTGGAAAGTTCTACTGATCGTCGCGAGTTCGACTCCAGCCAAAGCAGAATTTGTATTAAATGTTTTTACAAAATTGCATTACTACTTAATTTAGTTTCCTTAAAAATCAAATGCACGTTTTGATGAGGTTATGTTTAAATAACTCAAAATAATAAATAAAAGTATTTTAACCTCCTCATTAACTTAGTAAACCGTGATATATCTTATTACTTAGAAACTTACCATAGAGTATAAATTTACTTAACAATATTTTACGTTTTTCTGACATCGTTGCAATGCGTATGAATTTATTTATATTGTGATAATTTATATATTGGTACAATTATAATCTTCAATATTGATAGAAATAGGTACTTAATATGTTATATTCAATATCATATTTGTATATCAGTCTATAATTAACTAGACAAAGGAGTCTGTGAATTTATTGAGTTTTTAAACCCATCGTAAACTTGTCGTATTTTATAAATACCTTCTTAAATTTTATTGCTACAATTAGCAAACAGTTAAATTATAAATAAAAATGCTGTTTTGGCATTTTATGTACAATGTATATTCAAAATACATAAAAAAATGTCTAAATTCCGAATAACGAACTTACTAGTACATATTTATTTACGCTTCATGTACAGCGCCTCTGTCGGATTTTTTTTTGCATTTTATTAGACCGTTAAAATACGATCACTTTAATTTACCCCGAGTAACTTATTTTTTAGTGCTTAGGTTTACAAATTTTATAAAAAAAGTGTGATTTGATGTTATCGTTTTAAAATGCATTTTAAATTACAAACATTGTCGACAATATGTTAAGTTATACAGAATTGTAAAATTAAAGTATTTATGATATTATTTGCTTGTTTCATTTATTGTCTATCGATATTTTTATAAATAATGATCTGACATCTTATAGAATTACTAGCTGATCCGGCAAACATTGTTTTGCCATATAAATAATTTCATCTATTGAATTGTAGCTTATATGACACGTTTGTCGGTTTACCATAGCAGTGCCATCTATTGATTACTTACTCAATCCATTGTAACTGTCAATTATTTATAGACAAATAATTTGCAATAAAATAAAACGACTAAATTAAAGATCTAAACTATCCTATGTCTCAAGTAGGACCAGACTCATGCTCATGGTGTGCCAAATTTAATTTAAAATCGGTTCAGTAGTTTAGGAGTCCATAGCGGACAAACATCGTGACAGGAGATTTATATATATAAAGAAGATGATGTATGAAGAAAGTTTGATTTTTAAGAACATAAAGTGGTACAAACTAATCTCTTATTAAATTGAAAGGTTTTCTGAGAAATTCTATTTTGTTTTGGAGCAAACTGAATTTGATCTCATCTATTCTGATTATTATATAGACTTAACTAATATATCGCGTTTTAAACCGTTAGAGTGTTTTATTTAAATATTTAAATCATCAACCAATAAAAAAAAAACAAATCAAGTAAATAAATATAACCTTTAATTACTTAAATTCAAACTTACAGACTAAAAAAAATAGTAACGAAATGACTTCCATTGTATTATTTTGGTAACGAGTCAAGTATGTACTCGTTACTCTGTAACGAATACATTGAGTGTTTGTTCCGTATAACTGAGTTCTACTCCAAAATATGTCAATATATATTACCATTTTGTCATATATTGACAATATTTAAACACAGCTACCGCGCAAAGCGAATAAATCTCACATTTATTTATTAAGCCATAAATCCCCAGACCACCCCGTCACCTATCCGTTATCCCTAATTAATATTCGAATCGCGGAGACATCGGAACGGAGCAAAAATCTATAATTGTGTATTAAAATGTAAAAAAAGGGGTTAACGGAAACGGATATTGCCTTCCGTGGCGACCCTGCGGCAACGTTGCTCTTTATGCACATTAATTTTAGCCTTGACGTTTGGTTAAACGTCAATCATTTAAGAATACCTACGCTTTGAGTAGGTACTAATACTTATTTAATATTTAGCTGTTACGATTTAAGGACGGGCTCGTTGGTGTAATGAAAACAATGTATGGCTTTTCAACAGGTCATCCCCCCTGGGTCCAACATGTTCTTAACTAATTTATAATTTTTCGGAAACATTTTGGACTTCGTTTGGAAATCTAGATATTAAATTGGTGGCAGGATTATCGAATCCTTCCGGGTCACGAACCACCGTCCACAAATGACAAAGCCGTGAAAGCGAATATTCAAAGCCAAAATAGATGCGGCTACGATTTCAATATTTATCAGTTACTAATTCCGATAGTGTAGTGAACCAAAGTAAGATTTAGGCTTAGGAGTGCTGTCTTTCACGTTCTTGCTGCATCAGAAGCGAAGATACTATTTCCGATTTCAGTGTGTTTTTCATTAAATTCCAACATTGGCTTTCTTAACCCAATCATTTTCAAACATCCCATTGTAGTTTAAGGGTTAGGCCTCCCCTATGGGATTCGGAACTTTTAGTTGTACCCAACATCTTTACTAGTTTATGTCGTTACTTTTCCCAGGAATTAAAGTGCGGTCAGACACCTTGTCGATGACAGTGACAATTAAAGCGAAAGGCAAGGACAACGTCACGTGTATCGTTACATCGAGAAAGCAAGAGTGCGACAATTTCACGCTTGCTGTGCGCACGCGCTGAACTTAAGCTTAATGCCCGTCGTTGTACTGGCGACGAAAAAATTTTGAATGTTCGAGTTTTAAACATTGACCATTTGTCTGTTTACAGGTCTAAGTTTTTAGTTGGGAAAAATTATAGTTCAGATTGCCTATATCTATTCTCTAAGTAAAAAATAATTGTCTATGTAGGTACTATAATTATAAGTAGCTGTTACTGAGTTTAAACTCAATATTATAATCAATCATCATACAATTGGTTGTTTAAATAGGCCACCCGTTCTAGTAGGAAAAAAATGCTGTTTGTAATTATTTGTATTAATTTTATGTATGGAGAAAAAAAATAATTATCTTGACAAAAAAGTCCTGATTCTATTCTTTTATATAAAAATAAAACATGTACTCATACATATTTCACTCATATATAATATGTGAGTTAACACATAAAGACTATAGAAATATTTATTTAGGTATACAGGTGATTAAAGAAATGTAATTCGTTATTTTAATACAAATACGAGATCTTCGGTTTAAAAATGTTAAAAGTTTACACGACATTTAAAATACAACATTGCCGATTTTGCTGACCCTACCTGCACGAAGTCAGCCTATGCACGCTCAGATCTCGCCAAAATTGTCCACACACAATTTGCCGCTTTCCATACGTTACCTTGCGTAACACAGTAATTTTATTACCTAAAGCAATACGAGATAGGTTTTATATTCTTGGCTAAATGATTTCTTATTCTACTTGTTTATTTAAGTTTACTTTACGTTTGACGATGTTGTTAGCCGGTTCCCAGTTTTGGCCTAGGTCCTAAGACCGAGTTTAACGTAGTCTCGGCCTTGCAAATCTTTATTGACCTGGCGGCGCGGAAAATGTTATTTGTTTTAAGCGAAATAACGACTTTCTGGCTTAGTGCTTAAATAATAGAAAGAGATATATGTGCGTCGATAGGATTTTAGTTTATATTAATGTTGGTTAATAGAGAGTTTTATTAATATTTTTTGTATCTCTTCATTTTGTATTTTAGCTAATATCCTTTTAACATCAAATAGGAAAAGAGTTTCTTCCACAGATATTTTACATAGAGTATGTAAAGTAGTACATACTAGTGACTAAGTAAGTATGTATTTATTAAGTTGAAGTCTTTGAAATATGTTTTATTTTACAGAAGACAGATAAGCTTGGAATTCAATTGATGGCAAACGAAATATGATATCTAATCATAAATTAAGAGTAAAACTGAAAAATTAACGTAGAAATATTTCAGGATTAAATACTGTCTATAGTATATAGTTTACGCGAGTAGTACACATTTAAAAAAAACACTTTAACGGTTAAAAACGCGATATATTAGTTAAACTTATTTGAAAATGATTTTTAACTACGGCCCGACGTTTCGGACTAATGTATCGCGTTTTAAACCGTTAAAGTGTTTTATTTAAATATTTCAGTATTTTTCTCATATGGACCTGTAGTTCGCGATGCGGACGGAGTTTTTGACATTCTACCATTTCATTTAATACACAGATATAACGACGAAGCCTTATATAATTCAGAAAAATCATAATTTTATTTTAAACACGTTGGATCCGGTCGGAAGCGAAATCCACTACGCGTTGTTTTAATAACATCGCTACCATTAGACCGATGAGATAGTCTAAAGATGTTGAGTTCTCTACTTTTTGCACTTCACCCTTCTATAACCTTTTGTTCTTACTTTCGTGCTCATGTGATCACTTGGAGTGGAGACGAGCGCGAAATTGGTAACGCTCCAGATACTAACATGATTGGTGTGCAGAGAGTCTCTGCTCTTCTCCTTGGTTATTTAAAGATATGTCAATGTGTACTATACATATATGTATATGCATCATAATGTAATCTAAGGAAGTGGCGGAGAGTTTCTTGGCAGTTTTCTCGTTCTGGATATTTTTTTTGCTTCTTTATTTATTTTTACATATATTCGCCGGGCGTGAAAGCCGTGCAGCGGTCTATTTATGCCACGGAACACCCGCTAACATTTTTACATTGAAATAAAATCTAATTAACTACATAAAATGTCGCGCCTCGAGGCAAGAAATACTTTTTGATTATTTCCTTACACTTGTCCGATGCAGATGATAATTTAGAGTATTTATATACTTATTATTTAACGCCTTGATTTGAGAACTG